CAACTCTATAAATGTAAAGAAAATAAAGGTCTAAGATGTATACCTAATACCTGATGGTTTATTTATATATAATTATATTTATATAAAGATGTATATAGAGACAGCGGGTCGTAGCATTGTTGTATCAAGATATTACAATATAACGTTTTAGTCATGGAGTCACCCTTCCTTGTCAATATACACATAAATGGGTTTTTAGCTCAACATTAATTAAACTGGATAAAGCATTGTTTTTCCTGTATACATATCCTTGGTTAGACATTTAAATGGTGTCGTCTCTCTCGCAATCCGCCTTCCTCCTCTTTTGACGCCTCTGATAGTTGCTTTATGTTATAGAGTATCTGTCTTCCCTTAGGATGCGCCTAATCACGTCAATGAGTCTATACGGCTTGACGATACTACTGGCATACAGTGTTACCATCGCCTGGACTGGTCAGTTTAAATTTATTTATAACTACTCAGCTGTCTTTACTGTAACGTTAAATTGGTTTTAGCTTTATGAGATTTATTAACAATGGGTTTTGACAAGGTTTCGAAAAAACTATCATCTCTATTAAATGTGTATTTATACACAAACTAGTTTTAGGAAGCTGATCATAATTATTAATGAAATATGTTCCATGGTGCCTCAGCTGATCCCCCACCTGCAGCAATCAAATGTCCAGAGAACACCCAGCTTGATGTTATCTTTGTCCTGGACTCCTCTGTCAGCATGGGCAAGTCCAACTGGACACGAGAGCTGCAGTTTGCTGTGGATGTGGTCAAGCAGTTCAAGCTCGGGCCCAACGATGCCAGGTTTGGGGCCGTCTCCTTTAGCTACACACCCTTTAAGCTGTTTGATCTCAAGACCTACTCAGATTACTCCTCAATCCAAAAGGTCAAAACATCAACTTAGTGTTTATGTTTTAGTATTTTATATTTAGTTTTCTTTGTATTTATCGTTTGTATAACTTCGTTGCCTATATAACACAGTTTTTTTTTAAATTTCCTGAAACTGTCAACTACAGTTTAATTTTTGATTCATAGATTGAGACGTTCGTACACTAAATTACATAATATAGAATAATTTAATAATACACTAAATTTAATGTCTGATTTCAAACTTTGAAGGCGTTGAAAGGAGCAAAGTATTTGAACGCCCACACATTCACTAACAAAGCCCTCCAGTCTGTGATGGACTGGAAGATGTTCGACGAGGCGAACGGTGGACGGGCATCAGCACAGGACGTTGTTGTTTTAATCACTGACGGAGGCTCCAACTGGCCAGAGAAAAGTAGGTGAAGCAGAAGAGAACAGTTTCTTAGTGTCCGTTGCTCATGCTACTTTTCTTTATATATTAAGTATTAAATACCATCTATGAGTTGTAATCTAGATCACATTTAAAACACTATTTGAAAACTAAATGTATCTGAATACAATAATTGGGCATACGAACTCGTTTGAGAGTGATAAAGGGAAAATTAGTAGAATGGTTATTAATATTGCCTATTTATCTCGGTGTTTATTAATTTTAATCAAACGATATTTTTGATGTTTTAAGTTAAGTAAAGGTAAGAACATTGAGTATGTGATCATGTTGCCTTAAATTGCAGTATAACAATAAAATCTTTAATTCACCGAATTGCGGTAAATTTAATCACGTTACAAAGATGTTATGCAACCCAAATTGCCCTTATTCGTAATCCGCCTACTTTATTTGATTTTAAGTTGCAACAACAAATAATCATAGAGCAAGCACCAACTATTTATAAATATCACGATACAAGCTTAACTACGTTCTAGGTTTGGAGCTATGCCGGTCATTGTGGCTGTTTATGTAAAGATGAATGTGTTTTTAATGGGGATACTTAATCCGGGTGTTTATGTCATTGGGTATTATCAAGGTTTTTTTTTACCGCAAGCCCTAAATTTTGCACGTAAAGGACAAGGCTAGAAATAAAGAAATTAAAACAAACATACTTATATTATTAAAAAATGAATACAAACAGCCAAAGCAACAGCTGATTTGCTAAAGAGTCAGAATGTCAGGATTATAGCTGTGGGTATTGGCAGCGAGGTCGTCAAACAGGAGCTCTTGGACGTCGCCTCATCTCCCGGAGAAGTTATCCTGGCTGACAGTTTTGATGCTTTGGCGTACATCAAGAATCAACTGGTCAGCCGAACGTGTGAAGGTAACATTTTCTTTAACACAAAGTCACTTGCTAATTTAGGTGTTTTTTTAGTTTCCAATGTGTAAAGTTATCGTAGTTGAAAACGTAAGAACCATGTTATAAATAACTGCTGTATATTAAAACATTAGCAAAAGATTTAATTAGCTTTTTAACAAACTCTTTACTCACTTTACTCACTTTTAAATGTTATCATCAACTATAAACAATTTTTTGAGGCTTCAATTTGTTTTAGAACTTTTTTTTTATGAATTACATGATTTGTAGGCTCATCTTGTTAGTAGCCTACTAGATAAAAAATTGCCTCAATAAGTTATGTCATTTTATTTTTAACATTAAGAAAAAGTCATGTTTTCTAAAGCATTTTTTTAAAGTACTGGTTTGTTTTTCCCTGGACAGCATCAAATGATGAGCCTTGTGATCCAGTCGATAACACAGTAACAGTTCCAAGTGGGTATATCAGACATAGTATAGCTAATAGTGCATTAACAGACGCCGTTGTTTAAGAAAAGTTTTATTTTATCTCGATGGTAAGTGCATAACGTCAGGGTACTGACCGAAATGATTTCCCCAAAGAACCCACAGGTCCCCCTGAAGAACCCCTCAAGTGCCCAAGTAACACGCTCGCTGACATCATCTTCGTCATGGACTCTTCAAAAAGTCTAGGGCTGGAGAACTGGAAGAAACTGCTGCACTTTGTAGAGAACATCACCAGGCTGTTCACCATTGGCCCCACTGACGTGCGATTTGGTGCCGTGTCCTACAGCTATAGCACCAGATGGCTGTTTGACTTAAACACGTACAGTGACCAGGAGTCTCTGGCCAAAGTAAGTGGTTTCTATCACGCAGATGGTATGTGTAATATATGCGCAGTCAGGTACTAGGGTGGTGAGTTTGCAGGGCAAGCATATGGAAAAACAAATTAAAAAGTTAACCAGTTAGCCATTAACCAATAAAACCTACACATTTTACATATATTTAGATTTCTTATTATAATTACGAACGAATTATTATGAAAATAATGCCAAAACGCAATAAGGAACATATATATATATATAAATAAAGACACAATCACTGTGAGCAGAGTCTCCAAAAAGCTGTGTATCTAAACGCCCACACCGCCACTGCAGAAGCTTTGGACTACGTGAGGAACAACGGGATGTTCAGCGAGGCTAAAGGGGGGAGAAAGGACGCCAAAGACTTTGTGATTCTCATCACAGACGGCATCTCAAGGAGCCCAAATAAAAGTTAGTTATGCTATACACGTTTTAATCACACTAGGGGACTGTAGTGTGATTCACACATAGTGCACATCGTTTAGCTGCACACCTTTTTGTGTGCCTCGGGTTGGGTTTTACGCAGAGTAGGTTTGGGGTGAATTTTAAAATATTTTTAGTTGACTGAGGGCACGCTATACTCCGGAATAGATCAATAGTAAAGTACACTTTAAGTCTGATCGTCCATGTGGGAGGTGAAGTAGAGTTCGCCTGTTTGTGTATTCTCTGCATATATAGGGATAAGTCGGTCAGCATTTGCCCAACACCTTTATTTTCCCTAACGTGGGTCAGGTATCTGATAAAGCTGGGTGGACTCATGATGTTCCGACCTCGAGACTTTCAGGTCAACATTCGCACGCTCTACCATTCGACCATGCTACCCCACTGATCTTGAACAGATAAACATGTCAGTTTATAAAACTGGTGTAGGGGTCGGCGTGCTCTGGTCGGTTAAGCTTATGGTTGCTGAACCGAAAATACCAGAGTTCAAACCCTCGGGCAGAGGAGGGTCGATAGCTTGGAAAGCAGATCATATAGGAGCAAGACTCAAAATTTAATACCATTTTGTCTTGTACTTTCTTATTGGTTGGACAAAGGCTATGGAAGAAACTGCAAAAAGAAAATCAAACTGAAATCGGAGTCTACGGCCTATATGGCGCATAACAAGTTGACACGTAATATTGTTGGAGTGAATCCCTTCCAACATGATAAATAATATAGAAAAAGTTGAAGAAAGCTACTGTCTCACGCACGTCTAAAAGTTAATCTAAATTTCATAGGTCGATCTCTCTAGTTGGTCCCTACTTGATTGTGTTTTTAATGAGGGTCTCTACATCTCACCAAACTATTCACCACAATACCTTCGGCAACCAGAATTACACTTAGTAATATTCCTCTAAATTTGAATTTACCATCATCTTATTACATTCAGTGTCGTCTTCTCTACCCTCCCCATCCCTCCCCCTTCAGCTGTGGCAGCGGCTAACGAACTAAAGAAACTTGGCGTAGAGCTCATCGCCGTGGGTATTGTGGGCAAGGAGAACGAGATCTCGTACCAGGAGCTCCGAGACGTGGCCAGCAGTTATGACGGGATTATCCTGGCGTTTGATTTTGACACGCTCGGCTACATAGAGCAGAAGATTGTTGAAAACACCTGCAGTATGTAAACCTAGCGCATACACACACATATATGTATATATATATATATATATATATATATATATATATATATATATATATATATATATATATATATATATAGGGCCTATATATTTATAGATATAGGTATAGATATAAGTATACATGCATATATTTACATTAGCGTTTAACCATGTGTGTGTGTGTGTGTGTGTGCAATGACACTCTACAAACCAAATAGAAATGCCCTGCTAACATTTTTTTTTTACAAAAAACAGGTACAACGTACAAATAAACCAAAGAAAATAACCACTTTCGGAGAGACTTGTTAGATTAATTTCTTTGATTTCATTACTAATTAAAGAGCAATAATAAACGTCACAAAAACAATTTCTGTTGACAACTGATTTCTGTAATTTATTTGAATTTAAAAGCATCTACGCTATTTGTTTACTCAATGGATTTAATCATACAGTTTTAGTAGAGCTTGCAAGTCGTTCATCATCAGATAAAGGAAAGGCTGAAAAAATGTATTGACGTTATAGAAAGATTTGTTAAATATGTATCACCAATACTTCAGTCACAATGTAGTTCCTGCATACTTTGGTATTTCAATCCTTGGCAGATGTTCAGCCTGCAATAGTAATGACATATTTATTTTAATGATTTTTCTTCTTCTTCTGCGTTCTTAAATTAGTTTATGGTGGAGGATTTAAGGGGGTAGGCTTCTGTAAAAAAACAAAAACCTTTTTAATACTCGTTAGGAAACAATTGTTTCTCTTTGGTTTTTTAAGTGCATCTGCGTGTGTTTCCACTAAAAAAAATTGGTAACTATGACAACGGCGGCCATCTTGAAAAACTAACCCCTTCGTTGATTTTCCACCATTTATAAAATATTATATATACCTCAAGGCTCAAGAACATTTAATAGTGAGCAATATGCATTTCTAGTCTAGATGCGTCTGGTTACCGACCAAAACATAACATGTTCTTACTTGATTCATTGGGATCTACTGTAAAGGCAAATCCAGTAGGGGTTTCCGTTGTGCCTTCTATTTCAGCTTGCGTTGTTGTCTCGTCATCTTAATGTTCAAATAATAATTGAAAATGTCATTCGAAGCTAAAATGTTTATTAATTTTCAAACAACAATTGAAAATGTCATTCGAAACTAAAATGTTTATTAATTTTCAAACAATAATTGAAAATGTCATTCGGAGCTAAAATGTTCCTCTTATTTTTAAACAGTGTTTAAAATGATTGCAAAGTTTTCGATTGAGAGGTGTAAAATCAATGTAAACAAATACGAAATAGCTGCAGTCAATGTAGTTATAAAGACACTTAAAGTATATTTGTCAGCACATTTGCTTCTGGCATACACGTATGTTCGTCATACACAGCTTTTAAGCTACTATATAGAAAACAAGCGAAATATATTAGGAGGTTTTTATCAATTTGTTACTAATTCTATATTCTTAGACGTGTGCCCTTGTTATCTGAAACTGAGTTATTTAAGTGTAAACAATGCCTGCGCTTGGATATTTATCAGGGCACTGGTTTGCCTACACTACCGTCCTGCACGCCCTTGGCGTGCTTTAGGAAAGACTTGAGTATAAGTTAATCACTCTCCGTAATAGTGAGAAAGAACATACATCATCGACCGCCTATGTGTCCGGGATGTAGTGAGGCGCTCTTGGGAACCTCCAATTTACGCTACCGCAGGGACGCCGCGTACGGTCCATGATTCAGTTTAATCATCGAATGCCGTGTGCCATCGTGTCAATTTTGTAAGGTGCTCCTTAAAACTAACGTATGACCCATAGTTCTCACAGGGTAGAGCAGGCAGCCAAATCACACCCCGCCGGTATGCCGGCTGACGCGCCTGATTTTGTTTAGTGAACTACTCTAATACCCCATCTTATGCATAGTCTATCGCACTGTTTGAAACGAACGTAGTTGCAATAATGCTTACGGGATAGCCCGAGGCGACACATCGCAACCTGACGGGGTGCCGGCGGACGCGTCAGTTTCAATTTAGTTAACGACACTAATTTCACATTTTATCCTTAGTTTATTGCAATGTTTAAAACTAACGTTGGCGCCCTTGTGCTCACTGGAATACTCGAGGTGCCACATTGCATCAAGTCGGGTCGACGGCGGACGCTCCTGTTTATGTTTAGTAAATGCCTCTAATACCCATTGCATGCAGTATATCTCACTGTTTAAGACGAACGCAGGCGCCATAGTGCTCACGGGATAGCTCGGAGCGCCAAATTGCACCCTGCCGATATTGAAATATATTTTTGACACTAAATCCCCCCTAGTGGTATTTTCAACTTCCAAAGTTTCATGGCGTTTGGATTAAAAGTGGAATAATGCACAAAAGACGAACACTCACACACACACTCTTTAACACACTTATGTATATGTATGTAACACACACATACATACACACATATATATATATATATATATATATATATATATATATATATATATATATATATATATATATATATATAAATTAGCTAATATGACAACTTTTTACCACATGGAATTTCAGTTGTAGCAGTCTCCAAAACAAATCCAGTAGGTTTTTCCGTTGTGCCTTCTATTTCACTTTGCGTTGTTGTCTCGTTATCTTAATGTTCAGTTAATAATTGAAAATGTCATTTGGAGCTAAAATGTTCCACCTATTTTGATAGTGTTTAAACTGATTGCTAAGTTTTCGATTGAGAGTTATTAAGTTAATGTAAAAGAAATACAAAATAGCTGCAAGCAATGTAGTCATAAAGACGCACTTAAAGTATATTTTCAGCACATTTTCTTCTGAATATAATTCTATTCGTCATACACAGCATTAAATGTACTATATAAAAAAATTAAGCTGAAATAAAAACGTATTTACCGCATGGAATTTCAGTTGTAGTCTCCAAGCTTAATGTGAAGACTATTCCAGCAGGGTTTTCACTCGGTGGTTTTGTCGGGTTAGCTTAGGGTTCAAACATTAGTAGAGATTGTTATTTGATATATAGATATGCAACGTATTTTATAATTTATAATTTCCTCAAAATTGAACTGAAAAACATTATTTAATGTGATTTAAAAAGTCATTATTAAAATTGTAGAACTTTCAAAGAGTTATTCACAGACGTGAACACCAACATATAAAAAGATATTTTAAAAAGCTGCCTTTAAGTAGATTTAAAAAACATTGTATTTTTATTTCAAGTGCATAGTAAGCACATTTACTTGTAACCCATTTACATATAGTCTCCATACAACATCTAGGCTCTATTCAACATCTAGGCTACATACAACATCTAGACTACATACAACATCTAGGCTACATTCAACATCTAGATTACTTACAAATTTAACATCTAGGCTACATACAACTTCTTGGCTCTTTTTAGCATCTAGGCTACATACACCATGTAGGCTCTATTCAACATCTAGACTACAAACAATATCTAGGCTACATACAACATCTAGGCTCTGTCCAACATCTAGACTACATACAATATCTAGGCTACATTCAACATCCAGACTACATACAACATCTAGATTCTATTCAACATCTAGATTCTATTCAACATCTAGGCTACATTAGAAAACATTTTCTTACTGGGTGGGGTTGGGGTTGTGCTTGGATTGATGCCTGCTGTGAAAATAACTTCAGTAGGGATTGCCTGTGTGCCTTGTACACCAGCCTGAGTCGTTTCGTTGTCTATGGGTTCAACATGTTATAGAAAAAAAGGTATTTTAAATTTCAGCTCGTAAGTTGTTTTTAGTACAAAATTATATCTAAAATATTTGCGGGAAAAAAATGAATGTTTAGCTTAAACTGATACAAAGAAATTATTAAAATTTTATTGCCGGTTTTCAAGACAACAAAATATTTAATTCTAAATATAGAAGATGGAACTGCGTGGGTTTGTGATAGAGTGATCCTCTGTAAGCCAGAAAGTCTCCAGTTTGGGTCACATGTCCTTGTCTGTAGATAATATCCGAGTCTCTACCGAGCTCTGCTGGGTACTTGACTCACGATAAGTTATGACGTCTGGCCGTAGAACTGACCATCTGCTAGGTACTTGACTCACGATAAGTTATGACGTCTGGCCGTAGAGCTGACCATCTGCTAGGTACTTGACTCACGATAAGTTATGACGTCTGGCCGTAGAACTGACCATCTGCTGGGTACTTGACTCACGATAAGTTATGACGTCTGGCCGTAGAACTGACCATCTGCTAGGTACTTGACTCACGATAAGTTATGACCTCTGGCCGTAGAACTGACCATCTGCTGGGTACTTGACTCACGATAAGTTATGACGTCTGGCCGTAGAACTGACCATCTGCTAGGTACTTGACTCACGATAAGTTATGACGTCTGGCCGTAGAACTGACCATCTGCTGGGTACTTGACTCACGATAAGTTATGACGTCTGGCCGTAGAACTGACCATCTGCTAGGTACTTGACTCACGATAAGTTATGACGTCTGGCCGTAGAACTGACCATCTGCTAGGTACTTGACTCACGATAAGTTATGACGTCTGGCCGTAGAACTGACCATCTGCTGGGTACTTGACTCACGATAAGTTATGACGTCTGGCCGTAGAACTGACCATCTGCTAGGTACTTGACTCACGATAAGTTATGACGTCTGGCCGTAGAACTGACCATCTGCTGGGTACTTGACTCACGATATTTAATTACGTTTGACCGTAGAACTGACCAAACTATCCACACATGCAGATAAACCAACATGTATCTGCCTTTTGGACTGTTAGGCCTCATAAGGCAACTCATACACTTAACATGTATAAAAGGATATAAAAATGTACCTTCAAGTTAGCTGAAACTTTTATATTTAATATAGATTTTAATTACATTCACTTTTGACATACGATTCTATTAATTATACACAACAACTAGACTAGTTCAAAAAACATTTATTACCGCATGGAGCCTCCGTTGTCTCTGTATTCAAGCCTACTGTGAAGACCACTCCAGTACGTTTTTCTGTCGTTACTTCTAGGGTAGCTTGGGTTGTTTCGTTATCTTAAGATTAAAATATTAATTATAATTTATATTAGCCACGTATGTTCATTCAATGTAAAGGAATTATTTTAATAGCACGACTTTTAAAAATTAAACATGAAAGTTATAATCTAAATCCAAAACAATACAAGAAAACTGCCTTAAAATTAGACGAAAGAAGTTTTAATTCAAGTTTATTTTAGCTATAATTTAAAAAATTAAGCTGAAATATAAACTTATTTACCACATGGAATTTCAGTTGTAGTCTCCAAGCCTACTGTGAAGACTATTCCAGCAGGGTTTTCATTCGGTGGTTTTGTCGCGTTAGCTTAGGGTTCAAACATTAGTAGAGATTGTTATTTGATATTACTACTTGTAACTTGTTTTATTTTAAAAATCATATCATTTGTTTAAGGAAGCCCACAAGTTTATTAGAATACACTTCCAATGTTTGAATAGATTAGCATTATCAACGTTTCTCGTTCGTGCCGAAAAAAACAAGGGGCAGATGAGGTAGAATTCATCTAATTCAGTGAGCTTGGCATAAGAAGGGGTTTTATGTTCAGGAGTATGTCAAGCTGAATTTATTTGTCAGTGAGTCAGGTGGATTTAGAAACCTGCTACAGACTCAAGTCCAGGATTCAAACTTAAGAAATTTTAGTTAGCGGTCGTAAGCTTCAACAAACGAGATGAGTTAAATCTAAAATGTGTGGTAAACAATATTTGCAATTAAAAAAGTTTGTTAAAAAAGAACAATTTTAAAATTATAAATTATTACAACCACTTTTACATGTAAGTAAAACACATTTTTAGTAGCAATGCATAAGATTTAGAATACCGTTAAAAGAAAACATTATCTTACTGAGTAAACTAGGAGTTGTTTCGGTAACGGGGATATTTGTTGGATTTTCTGTTGTGCCTTCTATTTCAATGGAAGTTGTGTTTTCATTATCTTGGGAATAAAATATCAATTATTTTTTTTTTGGAATTGCTACTTGCAAGTTTTTTATGGTTAAACAGTTAAAAAATATGCCTACAAGTTGTTTTGTTTTTTGTTTGTTTCTTTTTTTTTTCAAAAATCATTTACTGTTTTGACCGATATAAAAAAAAACACTATAGAAATATTTTTTCCAGTTTTTTTTTTTACATTTTATACGGTTGCGGTTTTCATGGCATCCATATGATAAGAAGAGCCCTAATGCATGCAAAAATATTTTCCCTTGGGTACCCTAACTTAGATACACACAAATAAATTAAAAAATGCTTAATGATTAAAAACATTTTTCTCAGTTGTTTTCGGATCCTAATATTATTAATCGATTGTGAAATAAAAGTTTTAGACAGAATAAAGATTATTGTTATTAATTGATCAATAAAATGGTGCTGAATTACGGAAGAAATGTGTAAAGCCATACATTTTGTAATAAAAAGTATTTTAACAGCTTAATTAATTTAGTAAAAAAAAATGCTTTATACAAAATTAATTTTTAAAGTCTTACCAAACGGTGTTTTTGTGGATGTTCCATCAACTTGTGGCTGTGGAGTTGGATTAAAATCTCCATTTTCATAAGTTTCGGGAGTTGAGTTGGGAAGATTATCATTGTTTTCAATAGGTTGGGGGGTTGTGTTGGGGAAGTAGTCCCAATTATCATTAGGTTGTGGGGTTGTGTTGGGAATATTATCATTGTTTTCAATAGGTTGTGGGGTTGCATTGGGAAGATTGTCATTGTTTTCAATAGGTTGGGGGGTTGTGTTGGGGAAGTAGTCTCCATTATCATACTGTTGTGGGGTTGAGTTGGGAATATTATCATTGTTTTCAATAGGTTGTGGGGTTGCATTGGGAAGATTGTCATTGTTTTCAATAGGTTGGGGGGTTGTGTTGGGGAAGTAGTCTCCATTATCATACTGTTGTGGGGTTGAGTTGGGAATATTATCATTGTTTTCAATAGGTTGTGGGGTTGCATTGGGAAGATTGTCATTGTTTTCAATAGGTTGTGGAGTTGCATTAGGAAGATTATCATTGTTTTCAATAGGTTGTGGAGTTGCATTGGGAAGATTATCATTGTTTTCAATAGGTTGTGGATTTGCATTGGGAAGATTGTCATTGTTTTCAATAGGTTGTGGAGTTGCATTGGGAAGATTATCATTGTTTTCAATAGGTTGTGGAGTTGCATTGGGATTTTCATTGTTTTCAATAGGTTGTGGAGTTGCATTGGGATTTTCATTGTTTTCAATAGGTTGTGGAGTTGTATTGGGAAGATTGTCATTGTTTTCAATAGGTTGTGGAGTTGCATTAGGAAGATTATCATTGTTTTCAATAGGTTGTGGAGTTGCATTGGGAATATTATCATTGTTTTCAATAGGTTGTGGGGTTGCATTGGGAAGATTATCATTGTTTTCAATAGGTTGTGGAGTTGCATTGGGAAGATTATCATTGTCTTCAATAAGTTGTGGAGGTGAGTTGGGAATGTTATCATTGTTTTCAATAGGTTGTGGAGGTAAGTTGGGAATATTATCATTGTTTTCAATAGGTTGTGGAGGTAGGTAGGGGATGTAGTTTTTATTTGGAATAGGTTTAGGGGCTGCGTTGGTTGGGTACTTTACTCTGTGTTTGGGGACAGAGTAAGGGAGATACTGTCCGTTCTGTTTATGCTTGTAAATTGTGTTGTCATCCAGTTCTGTACCGCCGTACTTGTATGAGATCCTGGCAGGGTTGTAGCCTACGTTGTGGAATTGTACGGGGGATAACTTGGGATAAAAGACTTTATGTTTAAAGTTGTTCACAGTAGTTTTCCTTGAAGCCATGTGTGGGATGAGCTCAACCACTGAATCCCTTTGTGGCAACACATCAGCTGTTTGAGAAATAAAGAAAAATCTATTATTATTATTCTCATACAAGTTCCTAATCCGATTTTTAAAAGTGAGGTAAAATTAGATGTTTTTTTTTAAATTAGATGATTGGATTCGAATTTAGCATTATGAACTTATGAGTAAAAGAATTAACTTTTCATGCTATTTTAAAAGTTATCGGTCTCTTATAATATTAATGAAAATAGGAAATGTTTTTGCTTAATTTTAAATTTCCCAATTTAAATTAAAGTAGCGTCTGTAGGTTTTGTAACAGTGAACAAATTGTAATGCCATTTTTTCCCCATTTTGTCAGGCAGTAAATACTGAAGTTTCACAGCGAGGAAGAAACGAGCTACTTGAGTAAATAGTTAAAATGGGCGACGAAGATAAATATTTTAAAACGTGCATATTGGATGTCATCGTATGTTGTTTGATACAACTGTTACAAAATGCTTTGTTAAATAAACACGTAATACACAATTTATTATATAATTATATTAATATTTACGAATACATAAAAAAATATTGGTGTGTGGTTGTGCTGTGTGTGTGTATGGTTTAAGTATGTAAGAATTGGAGAGCGGCAGATTCATTATTTTTAAAAAGTAAAAACAAGGACTATGGACAAGGCATTACTGGGACTCTACAGATGCCGTATCAACTAGTCCAGAAAGCAATTTACTGCCATTTAAATTGCCTTTTGTTTGTTTTACCGCGCGCTGGAGAATGGACAGTACGATACTAGCTACTCCATATCAGTCCCAGCTTTCAAGAGGGAAAATGTTTTTTTAATTTATTTTTAAAATTTATTTTTGGGAAACATGTTCCTTAAAACTTGATAATTTTTTCAAAACCTCGTATTTTAAGTAAATGATCTAATTTTGAACAAAAATTATAATTTTCAGCAGTTCAAATAATTAAGTTTATTTTATTTTCGATTGCTCATTGTTGGGTTTACTTTTGTGTAATAATAGATGGAAGGCTGAACCCTTCAATTCAGATTCTACTGTCTCTACCATAGCTACGCCCTGAATCTAAATACTTCCTTGCTTATAGACGATGCCCTTGTGTGTTCACCTCTACGCTACATACTCCCCCTTCACACATATCAACAATGTGTACAAAAAAACGTATTGCTCGTATCTCACCTGAGTCCGTCCACTGATAATGTTTGCGGCCTGATGAAATTCTGTCGTCAGTGTCATCAAATCTCCAGAAAATTCTCGGCTGTTGACTTCTGGGATTTTGCCTCTGCTTGTAAATATTTTTATATAATTTGATGATACCAGGAGAGTAACGTACATTTTCTCGTACATCATAGTCCCCAATGAAACGGTTATTAGATCTAAATTTTCTTCCACCCTTATTACCAAAAAGAAGTTTGAAAAAATCGAAACCAGAATTTTCGCTCGACTTTAGCTTTGTTTCTAAGTTTATGAGCCCTCGTAGGTACCGATCAGCGTCAAAGTCTTCATTATAACCACTGTTATAGCTTGATCTTTGGTTTTCACTTAGCCTTAAAGCTAGTCGTTCAAGGAGCTTAATTATTTCTTTTTTTCTTTCTTCACATGTTGGTCTTCTTGCATTGTAGAGAACGTCTCCGCCAACCAGCACTTCCTCTGGCTCACTGCTCAGGACATACGCGGTGCCGTCCGCCCGCTCCAGGTTATACTCTTCGACTAACCCTATGGCTTCCCCACTATCGGTCTCATCAAAGTTTAGACCGGATACAGGTTCTGTCAAGGAGTAGCCTTCTGGGAAATTTCTGGCTTCTACATCATACCTTTGATTTTGACCTGTTGATTTTATATTATTATGTGTATTCGACACTGAGTAGTTGTCATAATGGGAATAGAATCACTGCTTTTGTAATGCTACAACTCTATTATTTATTGAATAAAATACATTGCTTGTCTGAAGTAATGAAAATTTTAAAAAATATTCAAACGTTTTAAATTTTAAAATATTTAAAGGGGGTAGGCTCCAGATAAAAACAAATACTCATTTAAAACGTTTTATTGATTTAATTGTATATTTTTAAGTTAAGGTACTTAAAGGATTTTTTTTTTCAAAATTCTGTATGGCGAAATTCTATTGAAATTAATGCTAGATTTAATGGTATTTCCCCATATTAAAAAATAAAAAATTGAAAACAATATTTCTAGCGTTTGGTCTGTTACAAAAACTATCCAGCTGATTCTATTAGTGTTAGTACAAGAAGTATCACTGATTATATAGCCGATATATATGTTACTTTATGAAATTTTAGATCTTCATTAAAGGTAGTTTTTCAAAGATGGCCGCCGTTGCCATGGCAACCATATTTTCGGAAGAGTCCCTGGTACATGCAAATATTTTCGATTAAGTACCCTAACTTATACATACACAAATAAATAAAAAAGGTTTATTAATTAAAAAATGTGTTGTTGTTTTTTTCGGAGACTACCTTAAAAACATTTATTGAAGCTCTAAATGTAGTTTTAAAAGATAACTAAGTAATACGAAAAAAAATAAACTAACATATTCTCTAAAGTCTAGAAGCTCCATGTTATACATATTTTAAATTACAAATCTAAAGTATTATAATTAGTTTTTGTTTTTGCAAATGAAATTATTTATCAAATCTAATATATCTAATCAGTATAACTACAAAGAATCATCAATTACAAATCACAATTCTAAAAAGTAAGCCTCAATCAAACGACGGCTTTGACTTACCTAAAAAGTAGCCGAGAATACTCTCAGCACATAACACAACCAAAAACACCAAATACACCGATCTCATCCTGAGCTGTCCGAGAAATGTTGGGGAAATTATTTATCGGGTACATATTACATGTATGCGAATATAGAATCAAACTTCAACAAAAGAGTTAGTAGTTTTAAAAACATTTCAACATGTAAAAATTATAATTCCTCTTTGAACCCTTTATAAAATGTGATTAATGCTTATTTAATGTATTAACGAATTCTTAAATATTATATACTATATGTTGTAATGTGGTAGAAAAATTATGTTGCTTACCCAATGCAAAATTTCCAAATGAAATATTGGTGTATAGTTAGCAAACACATATTTAAAACGTCAACACTCTTTTTATTGCAAATAATGTTCAAATTAACTTTAGCCATCTGTTGTTGCATTTTTGTTTTGTTTTATTAACATGTTCATTATACCATAACTATTGTTTCTGAATTCTCTTTGTCTAATGTTATGGACAAACACTCCATTAATATACACGTTTTGTCACGTACGAATTATTTGGCCACGTGGACGATTTCATAAAATGTAAAAATATTTCTTTTCATGGCGGGTTTTCTACGCTGGGGAAACAACTACTGGAATATATCGGTGTGTCCATATCGTAAAGAAAACACCTCGTTTGATTTTAGGAAAATCTAAAAGTATAAAACTTAATTTTCTTTTTAAGGTTTAGAGTAATTAAGTTTTAGTTTTACCAAGTATAAAATATTATTAATTATATAATTCAAGAGAACAAAATTAAAGATAAAATCGAAAATAAAATGTAACTCATCTTCATTACATTTCAGGGCAAAAAGAATATATCCCGTGTATTTTTTTTTTTGTATTCGGTAAATTCTGAATTGACAACCCACATGTTGTCCCCAGAAATATCGTATATTGTAAATCAATAAACTTAAAATAATCAAGTAATTAGTAATAGGAAAAGGTAAAGATTTTTTTTGTATAAATCATAAAGTTAAAATATCTATTGGATTTGGTTTCTTGTATATACTTAAATATTTCTATATTTACATGTCTCAAGGGGTCGGCGTATTCGAGTCGGTAAAGCTCGTGGTTTCAAGACCAAAAAGTATCTAGTTCAAACCCATGGGCTGAACAAAGGCTATGGAATAAAAAAACCAAAAGAAAAATCACTTGATAGTGTTGGAGGCATCCCCCTCCCAACAATACAATTAAGAACTAAAAAGACGAAGACATTTTCAATGCACTGATCGTAGAATGATAAGCAGCATAATGAATAATTATCTTTAGATGTTTATTCACACCAAGACTACGTGTCATTCTTTAATTTGCTTAGTTCATCACTAAACATTTCTGTTGCAAACATGACTCATGCTGAAAAGTTGTTTGGCACATTTCCAAATTGCGAAATAAAATTAACGACTAATTAATATAAACAGAATTTTAAGAGATTTCACTCACCCACACAGCACACTTCATAACAAATGTTACTCAATTAAAGTGAATATTTCGTTTTAAAATGTAAAAATGAATAATATCTTTCTTAATGATATGGTGGTAGTTAATAGGCATGCAGTTTCATATAATGATGTGTTATCTATGTTTATGTGTTTGTCTGCATGTATGTATTTCGTTCAGTACGCAAATCAATAGATATTAATTTTATATTTTCAGTTTTAAAAACATGATATTGACTAGTTAAATCTTTGTGCAATTGTTAAAAAAGACTTTTGGGCAACTGCACATAATATTTAATTAAATATTTCATATAATTTTTTGAGTATCGGGTATAAATAAAAAATTAAATAGAAAGCACTAATATACAAATGCATAAGTAATATATACCTAAACATTGTATACATTTATTAGTATTTAAATTTGATTAGGTTATTTATTTGATACTGTATTTAGTGATATCTGTCTCGAGTTTGCATCAGACATCCAGTAAAGCCTACATACTTTGTTTGAATGATTTTGTCCTAGGCTAGAACAAAGTGTTTAACGTCCTTGGCTATTTTAATTCAGCACTCAAATGTACTGATTTTTATTTGAGAAAAAATATATCATGGTGAAAATTGTTTGGATATTGAGTACAATTGCGATGTAATTAGTTCGGATAGTGGGTACACTGGCATGTAAAAAGTTAAGATACTGAGTACACTAAGTTGTAAATAGTTTGAATACTGATGTATTTGAATTGAAATCTACATTTTAATAATCAAATCCGTATTTTTTCATCGTTTTCTTTCCTGCTAACAACTCCATGATTTCATTTGATCAATGAGGTCGGTTAAGCTCATAATTGTTGAACCGAAAAGGCCCGATTTCGAACCCCCGGGCACATGAAGCTCGGTAGCTGGAGACAGCTACTCATCTAGGAGAGACAACTCCTAATTCAAAGAGCTGCTTCCTTATAGAATATAGTTTGTTCTTAGTTGGACAAAGGCTATGGAAGCAGGCTGAAATCGGAGTAAACGCCTGTATGGCGCATAAGAAGTTAACACGTTATACTTCATTGTGTTGGAGGGGTATCACTTTCACCACTAGAATTAAGAACGTTATGGTTTGTAAAACTTGTGTCTGTGTAGATCGACCCATCAAGATTTGCAGCAGATTTGTAAAATAACACAAATGTATATCGGAACTGCGTTTCATTAGTTTTAAAAAAAAAGTTTTGTAAAGTACCACGCGATAAAATAAAGCAATAATTTAACGAAACACAAGTAGTCAATAATACAATAAACTCTAAATCAAATAATTTTTAACTTTTTTAATTGGCATATTTTGCTCTCAATACTTGAAGCACTGAGCAATCGACAATATACTGTTTGGTCATGGTCGACTGGACACACCTTTAACCTGCAAATTAATGAACAATCAATAAATTATTCTTTAGTCCAGTCAGGAGTTAGTTCATTATAGACAACCATTAAATTAAACGGGGGAGGGGGAGATTGTTTTAAATTGTGTGAATACTAATCAAAAACTTGATCATTTGGTAGATTTCAAGACGTCATCCTATAAGGAAATCCAAAACTTTTTTTAACGAAAAACAATATTCTTGATAAATAAACATATTATTTAGATACTTATGTAGAGCAAGATGTCAGAAGCTCCTATCCACATAAATTTTTATAAAACGTAATTGAAATATAGTACAAGATTACCTTCAGTTGCATCTGAAATTTAAAAAAAAAGAATTCGTTTAATAAATACTACATTAAACAAAGTAAAATTACATCTGGAAAACAGAACACAGTAGCTTTAGTTGTATTAATATCACTACATTCGTTTACTAAATATGTGTATGTTAAATGTATTAAATATTCATATCTACCCATTTTATAAACAGCCATAAAGTCGCCGTGAAAATTTACTACTACCATTATATAAGAAATATAGCCTTTAAAATCCGCGATTAAATTGCGGTACTGCCCCCTAAGGAAGGAATATAGGCATTTAAAGTTTGTTCTTAGTTGGGGAAACGCTATGAAATGAAATCGCAAATACCCCCCCCCCCCCCCACCACCACCCCACGAAATTAAGGATATTATTATAACAATGCCATGAAACGTTCAACGGGTTCTATGTAAGGCATATCAATAAAGACAAAATGACACTGAATGATTCAGTGTAAGCTTACAATTACACAGCCACTGGACGAGGTATTTCTTCATACTGTCCAGTGTGTTGTAGTCGTCTACAAGCAACACAGCGCTGGCCTCGCTAGCCAGAACCTTCAGCTCATCTCTGTTGATCTTGGCACCAATACCGATGGGGATTATAGTCACGTCTTGAGATTTCAGCAGAGAAGCCGAAATTCGTGCTAGATAAATTAGAGAATAAAAGTGTTTAGATTTCAGCATATATGCCAAACTACGTGCTAGAGAGATAAATTAGAGAATACTAGTCTTTCGATTTCAGCAGTGTGAATCTAATTATTGAAATACTACATGTGTTCACCAGATACATTTCTGTGCGTGTGAATCTGATTATTGAAATACTATGTGTGTTCAACAGATACTATCTGTGCGTATGACCTAGATTAGCGAGACACTAGTGTGTTCAACAGATACTTATCTGTGCGTGTTACCTAGATTAGCGAGACACTAGTGTGTTCAACAGATACCTATCTGTGCATGTGACCTAGATTAGCGAGACACAAGTGTGTTCAACAGATACCTTTCTGAGCGTCTCTAGCGTGCCCGTCAGAGATGAGTACCAAAATGTCTTTAGCGTCTTCTCGGCCTCCAGCTTTAGTGTCGAACATCCCTCTAGTTCTCACTAGATCCAGGGCCTTTGCTGTGAAAGTATGAGGGTTCAGGAACTTGGCCTTCATCAGCGCCTACAAGTTGAGTAAGATTCAGTGATCTATTTTAACTTTATCTATATACAAGTATATATATATATGTATATATATATATATATATATATATATATATATATATATATATATATATATATATATATATTCGTTCATTATTATTTACTTTTTTTTATACTTAGAAAAAAATACGAAAGATAAAGTTCATTTATTTTTGCGTGGTGGTGGGCGTCTTGTAGAATTCAAACAGTTAATTAATATTATAGGATGTAAGTTCAAATGAATACCTTGCGTAAATCCTTACTGTTGCTGAAGTCCTTGAGGTCGAACAGTTTTACAGAGCTGTAGCTGTAGGAGACAAAGCCGAACCTGAAGGCGTCAGGGCCGAAGGGAAACAACTCAGCCACGTCCCCGATAAATCTCAGTAGTCCGTCCCAGCTGGTGCTGCCTATTGTCTGCGATGAGTCCAGGACAAATATGACGTCAGCTGTAGAGTGGGCTGAGCAGTTCTTGGGTGGCGTTGGTGCTGGGGATATTCACATATTAAACTATCGATCGGTCTCAGTTTTACAAAAAAAAAACAGATTTGTTTTGTTTTTTGTAGAGAGTGAACAATTTAAAAAAAAAAAGGAAATTGCTAGTTTTTTTTAAATATTAAAAGAAAACGTGTCTATCAATGTGGACATTTTAAAGGGAGTTTAAAATCAAAATTACTATTTGTAGGAACCGCGGTTGTCGTTGCTGCGTTTGCTACAGTCAGTGTTGGATTCTGTATGTCAGTTGTATCAGGTGGTACAGCGACCGTGGCTGTGTCAGTTGTATCTGTTGGTACAGCGACCGTTGTTGTTGTCGTGGTTGTATCAGGTGGTACAGCGACCGTTGTTGTTGTCCTGGTTGTATCTGTTGGTACAGCGACCGTTGTTGTTGTCGTGGTTGTATCAGGTGGTACAGCGACCGTTGTTGTTGTCGTGATTGTATCTGTTGGTACAGCGACCGTTGTTGTTGTCGTGATTGTATCAGGTGGTACAGCGACCGTTGTTGTTGTCGTGGTTGTATCTGTTGGTACAGCGACCGTTGTTGTTGTCGTGATTGTATCAGGTGGTACAGCGACCGTTGTTGTTGTCGTGATTTTATCAGGTGGTACAGCGACCGTTGTTGTTGTCGTGGTTGTATCTGTTGGTACAGCGACCGTTGTTGTTGTCGTGGTTGTATCAGGTTGTAGAGTAACTGTTATTTCTGTAAACAATTCTATGGTCTTGCCTGTGTACAAAAATAGATATATCACACATATAGTTCGGTTTATAAGTACTTTAAAGCTTAATACGTAATGTACGTAAAATTGAACATATTATATGACTGTTAACATCATTTAAATAATGTTAAGTCATAATTGTAAATGTAGATTTCGAAAATTAACTCCTAATGTAATTGTACCACTAAGAATTAAAATGTCATTGAGACGTTCAAATAAGTAGCAAACTACAAAAAGTATACAATTACATTAGGAGTTAATTAATATAATTAAAGGCTGTGAAAAGTGGCATGCGGTGTGTTTGACTTTTTCGGCATAATTAAATTTGAAATGTTTAACAAATTAATATTTAAAACAAAAATATTACCCTCTCCTTCTGGCATTGTCACATAGGTGGTTAAATCTTCCACGAACGGAGGAGTTGAGTTTTGTTCGTCTTCGATGGTAGAGGGTGGGGCAATCGTGGTGGTAGGCGTGTTTGCACTCTCACTATTCTTGGCAGTCGAGTAACTTTGGTTGTCTACATCAGATGTGTGCTTTACAGTGGTGTCATTGAAGTTGTCTTCATTGGAAGTAGTTTGTGCTGTTGAGTTTTGGTTTTTTTCTTCATCTATTGAATCAGGTGAATTTTTGTCTTCTTTATGTTTTGAATCAGTTGAGTTTTGGTAATCTTTTTCATTTCTAGATTCAGGTGCTATTTGGTCATCTTCTTCATCACTTGAATCAGGTGACTTTTGGTAATAATCTTCATCACTTGAATAAGATGTTATTTCGTCATCTTCTTCATCACTTAATTCAGGTGCTATTTGGTCATCTTCTTCAACACTTGAATCAGGTGAGTTTCGGTCGTCTTCTTCATCACATGATTTTGATGAGTGTGTGTCTTCTTCATAACTTGAATCAGGTGAGATATTTTCTTCTTCGTCACTTGAATCTACTGAGTTTTTATTTTCTTTTTCATTGAATGAATCAGATGAGTTGTCATCTTCATCACTTGATTCTGTTGAGATTTGGTCTTCTCTATCATCATTCAAAACAGGTGAGTCTTGATCATCTTCTTCATCACTTGAATCTGTTGAGTTTTGGTCATCTTCTTCATCACTTGAATCTGTTGAGGTTTGGTCATCTTCTTCATCACTTGACTCTGTTGAGTTTTGGTCATCTTCTTCATCACTTGAATCTAGTGAGTTTTGGTCATCTTCTTCATCACTTGAATCTGTTGAGGTTTGGTCATCTTCTTCATCACTTGAATCTGTTGAGTTTTGGTCATCTTCTTCATCACTTGAATCTAGTGAGTTTTGGTCATCTTCTTCATCACTTGAATCTGTTGAGGTTTGGTCATCTTCTTCATCACTTGAATCTGTTGAGTTTTGGTCATCTTCTTCATCACTTGAATCTGTTGAGGTTTGGTCATCTTCTTCAACACTTGAATCTGTTGAGGTTTGGTCATCTTTTTCAACACTTGAATCTGTTGAGTTTTGGTCATCTTTTTCATCACTTGAATCTGTTAAGTTTTGGTCATCTTCTTCATCACTTGAATCTGTTGAGTTTTGGTCTTCTTCTTCAACACTTGAATCTGTTGAGTTTTCGTCATCTTCTTCATCCCCTGAATCAGGTGTTTTTTTGTCAACCTCTTCATCACATGATTTTGATGAGTTTGTGTCTTCTTCATTACTTGAATCAGGTGAGTTATTGTCTTCTTCTTCATCACTTGAACCTGTTGAGTTTTGGTCTTCTTCTTCAACACTTGAATCTGTTGAGTTTTGGTCATCTTCTTCATCCCCTGAATCAGGTGTTTTTTCGTCAACCTCTTCATCACATGATTTTGATGATTTTGTGTCTTCTTCATTACTTGAATCAGGTGAGTTATTGTCTTCTTCTTCATCACTTGAACCTGTTGAGTTTTGGTCTTCTTCTTCAACACTTGAATCTGTTGAGTTTTGGTCATCTTCTTCATCCCCTGAATCAGGTGTTTTTTCGTCAACCTCTTCCTCACATGATTTTGATGAGATTGTGTCTTCTTCATTACTTGAATCAGATGAGTTTTGGTCATCTTCTTCATCACTAGATTCAGGTATTTTTTCGTCAACCTCTTCATCGCATGAACTGGGTGAGTTATTTTCATCTTCTTCATCACTTGAATCTAGTGAATTTCGGTCGTCTTCTTCATCTTTTGAATCTGGTGAGTTTTGGTCAACATCTTCATCACATGAATCAGATACATTTTTTTCATGTTCTTCATTACTCGAATCAGAAGAGTTTTTGTCATCTTCTTCGCCTCTTGAGTCTGTTTTATGTTGTTTTGGAATATTTAAATTCATAAAATTAAACATTTGATAATCTTAAATTTACAAATACGTTTTTACTTTCTAATATATAGACAATAGAGGATGTGTTATAATCGTGTGAAAAAGTAAATGAAACATTTAGTCTTCGACATTTAGCTTTTGTAATCACAGTTTCAAAAATAAAGAGTTTTGTCACCCTTTCCATCATTTCAGTTATGTTTACCACTTTTCGTACATAATCTATCTATATACTACTAAAACTCAAGTTTGTTTACATGTTTGAATATTTATTTATTTGTTTGTCTGATTGACTACTGTAGAGGATCTAAGCTATTTGCAGAACTGCAAAATAGTAAGTAGGTAGAGAATAATTTTTGTTTTCAGACAGACTGTTAATCAAAAATTTATTTAAAGACTTTAATTAATTTATTGATTTATTCATATGTAGATTAACCCCATTAATTTTAAAGTTTTAGAACAATGGCTTAACTTTTATTGAATAGTGACGTCACATGAAATGTTTACTTTTTAGTACAATAAGAAGATGGCGGCTTCCATCATCAAAAGTTTAACGCGTTAAAGCTAATTTCCTGCTGGCTATAACTTTAACAATACATCCGTTTGCTGTATTTATTACGTTTCAACACTATTATCAAAGTTTTAACACTTCTTTTTATTTTATTATACAATAAATTTCTCTAGATCTACAGATCAGCTGTCGAAGGATGAAAAATTTATGAAAGAATCTAGAATTCTAGATTTAGATCTAAATCTAGGTCACAAGACGTAAATTCTAGATTTAGAATCTATTTCAGGCCTTAATTATTTATACAAATCTTTGTTTAGCTTCAATGAACATCTAATTCGAGAATACATGGGATTTATCGATCTAGGTTCTAGATCTAGATATAGTAGGATTACTCGCTAACTTGGAGGCGTGGTCGGTTGCTAACAACAATGGCGTCCGGACCGGGTGCATGACTGCCGACCATATTTAGGCCATGTTTACTACGAGCAAAATGGCAGGTTTTCACGTTATATAAACATGCTATAGGTGGCCAGGGCTAGATATGCCAGAAAAGCATTTTAAAATTTGCTTTGGAGAGTGAAGGCTAAATATTGAAGTCGGTGTCATTAAAATTAATAGAAATTTTAAAGGGTCACCTGTGACGTCAGTATATGAAGGAAAGTGTGGTCAGACACGCATTATACACGCATTGTTTTGCAAGATTCTTTTTTATTTTAAAACGTTTAAGAATGAAAAAAATAGATTAAAAATCACGTCTATACCCCGAGTTGCCATCCCTCGTACTGTTATATAAAAATATTCTAGAAAGTTCATGGGAGATCAATCCCGCTTTATTTGTGAATGCTTTGCTTCGGTGTTTATATGGACAAAATTCATCAATTTTTCTGTGCCATTCGAATTGTTTGTTCAACAAAAAAAACTATTTTCCTCTTAGCATGTTTTTGTTGATCTAGACGTTTTGAAAAAGAAATATTTTGTAATATTACGTATAGAAATAAAAGTAATAACTAGTGTTAACTAACATATTGAGAATATTGGCTCTTAACTCTTTTGGAGGTAAAGAACCCCACTTTCACTGACCAAATGCTATCGTGAATCCAATAAATGGGAAGTGTCATGACCTAAGCAAAACATTAAGACGAATCTTCAACCTTCAACGAATCCCTAGGGTTCGATCGAACGAATGCTGAGGACAACTACTTTAAATGACTTTACAGTATTCCCTGTTATATTTTAAAATTAAGTAGAAATAGAGGCTTACGTGTACATTCTGACGAATCATTGTCGGTTACTGCATGTGCTTTGGTTTCTGGCTTGACGTCCTCATCAAATGATGTTGGTTCTGGTGTTGCATGTGTTGTGTGGTCATCAAATAATGTTGTTTGTAATGTGTCCCAATCAAATGGTGTCGTTTGTGATGTGTCCTCAGTAGTTGATAAACTTAATGATGTAGTTTCATTAATTGGAGGTTGTTTTGTTGTGTTACCATCAAATGTTGTTGTTTTTGTTGTGACAAAATCAAATGGTGTTGGTTGTGGTGTAAAACCATCATATATAGTTGGTTGTAATGTGTCCAAATCACTTGGTGTTGGTTGTGATATGTCATCAGTAGTTGATAACGTTAATGTTGTAGTTTCATTTATTGGAGGTGGTTGTGTTGTGTTACCATCAAATGGAGTTGTTGATTGTGTGTTATTATTAAATGGTGTTGATTGTGATGTGATATCAAGTAATTGTAATTTTGGTGGGTAAACATCAAATGATGTTGTTTGTGGTGTATCAGTTTCAAATGGAGTTTGTTGTGACGGATACACATTAAATGATGTTGGATGTGGTATGCCCCAATAAAATGGTGTTGGTTGTGTTGTGTAATCCTCAAATGGTGTTGTTTGTAGTGTGTCAAGATCAAATGGTGTTGGTTGTGGTGTGGTAAAATCAAATGATGTTGTTTGTAATGTGTCCCAATCATACGGTGTTGGTTGTGATATGTCCTCTGTGGGTGATAAACGTAATGAAGTAGTTTCATTATTTGGAGTTGGTTTTGTTGTGTTACCATCAAACGGTGTTTTTTGTGGAGTTTCAAAATCAAATGGTGTTGGTTGTGTTGTGTAATCATCAAATGGTGTTGGTTGTGTTTTGTAATCAACAAATGGTGTTGTTTGTGGTGTGTCGAAATCAAATGGTGTTGGTTGATATGTGTCAAAATCAAATGGTGTTGGTTGTGTTGTGTAATCAACAAATGGTGTTGTTTGTGGTGTGTCGAAATCAAATGGTGTTGGTTGTGGTGTGGTAACATCAAACGATGTTGGCTGTAATGTGTCCCAATCAAATGGTGTTGGTTGTGATGTGTCCCCTTTAAATGGTGTTGTTTGTGGTGTAGAAACATCAAATGATGTTGGTTGTAATGTGTCCAAATCATATGGTGTAGGTTGTGATGTGTCCTCAGTAGTTAATAAAAACAATGTTGTAGTTTCATTTTTTGGTGTACCTTGTGTTGTACTACCATTAAATGGGGTTGTTGATTGTGTGTTATTATTAAATAGTGTTGATTGTGATGTGTTCCTATCAAATATTTGTAGATGTGGTGGGTAAACATCAAATGATGTTGTTTCTGGTTCATCAGTAACAAATGGGGTTTCTTGTGACGGGTACACATTAAATGATGTTGGTTGTGGTATGCCCCAATTAAATAGTGTTGGTGGTGTTGCGTAACCATCAAATGGTGTTGGCTGTGGTGTGTATTCAACAAATGGTGTAGGTTGCGGTGTGTCAAGATCAAATGGTGTTGGTTGTGGTGTGGTAAAATCAAATGATGTTGTTTGTAATGTGTCCCAATCATGCGGTGTTGGTTGTGATGTGTCCTCTGTAGTTGATAAACTTAATGTTGTAGTTTCATTAATTGGAGGATGTTGTGTTAAGTTACCATCAAACGGTGTTGTTTGTGGAGTTTCAAAATCAAATAGTGTTGGTTGTGTTGTGTAATCATCAAATGGTTTTGGTTGTGTTGTGTAATCAACAAATGGTGTTGGTTGAGGTGTGGTAAAATCAAATGATGTTGTTTGTAATGTGTCCCAATCATACGGTGTTGGTTGTGATGTGTCGTCTGTAGTTGTTAAACGTAATGTAGTAGTTTCATTATTTGGAGTTGGTTTTGTTGTGTTACCATCAAATGGTATTGGTTGTGTTGTGTAATCATCAAATGGTGTTGGTTGTGTTGTGTAATCATCAAATGGTGTTGGTTGTGTTGTGTAAGCAACAAATGGTGTTGGTTGACGTGTGTCAAGATCAAATGGTGTTGGTTGTGGTGTGGTAAAATCAAATGATGTTGTTTGTAATGTGTCCCAATCATACGGTGTTGGTTGTGATGTGTTCTCTGTGGTTGATAAACGTAATGAAGTAGTTTCATTATTTGAAGTTGGTTTTGTTGTGTTACCATCAAACGGTGTTGTTTGTGGAGTTTCAAAATCAAATGGTGTTGGTTGTGTTGTGTAATTATCAAATGGTGTTGGTTGTGTTGTGTAATCAACAAATGGTGTTGGTTGACGTGTGTCAAGATCAAATGGTGTTGGTTGTGGTGTGGTAAAATCAAATGATGTTGTTTGTAATGTGTCCCAATCATACGGAGTTGGTTGTGATGTGTTCTCTGTGGTTGATAAACGTAATGAAGTAATTTCATTATTTGGAGTTGGGTTTGTTGTGTTACCATCAAACAGAGTTGTTTGTGGAGTTTCAAAATCAAATGGTGTTGGTTGTGTTGTGTAATCATCAAATGGTGTTGGTTGTGTTGTGTAATCAACAAATGGTGTTGGTTGAGGTGTGTCAAGATCAAATGGTGTTGGTTGTGGTGTGGTAAAATCAAATGATGTTGTTTGTAATGTGTCCCAATCATACGGTGTTGGTTGTGATGTGTTCTCTGTGGTTGATAAACGTAATGAAGTAGTTTCATTATTTGAAGTTGGTTTTGTTGTGTTACCATCAAACGGTGTTGTTTGTGGAGTTTCAAAATCAAATGGTGTTGGTTGTGTTGTGTAATCATCAAATGGTGTTGGTTGTGTTGTGTAATCAACAAATGGTGTTGGTTGAGGTGTGTCAAGATCAAATGGTGTTGGTTGTGGTGTGGTAAATTCAAATGATGTTGTTTGTAATGTGTCCCAATCATACGGTGTTGGTTGTGATGTGTCCTCTGTGGTTGATAAACGTAATGTAGTAGTTTCATTATTTAGAGTTGGTTTTGTTGTGTTACCATCAAATGGTATTGGTTGTGTTGTGTAATCATCAAACGGTGTTGGTTGTGTTGTGTAATCATCAAATGGTGTTGGTTGTGTTGTGTAATCAACAAATGGTGTTGGTTGAGGTGTGTCCAGATCAAATGGTGTTGGTTGTGGTGTGGTAAAATCAAATGATGTTGTTTGTAATGTGTCCCAATCATACGGTGTTGGTTGTGATGTGTCCTCTGTGGTTGATAAACGTAATGAAGTAGTTTCATTATTTGGAGATGGTTTTGTTGTGTTACCATCAAATGGTGTTGGTTGTGTTGTGTAATCATCAAATGGTGTTAGTTGTGTTGTGTAATCATCAAATGGTGTTGGTTGTGTTGTGTAATCAACAAATGGTGTTGGTTGTGGTGTGTCAAGATCGAATGGTGTTGGTTGTGTTGTGGTAAAATCAAATGATGTTGTTTGTAATGTGTCCCAATCATACGGTGTTGGTTGTGATGTGTCCTCTGTGGTTGATAAACGTAATGAAGTAGTTTCATTATTTGGAGTTGGTTTTGTTGTGTTACCATCAAATGGTGTTGGTTGTGTTGTGTAATCATCAAATGGTGTTGGTTGTGTTGTGTAATCAACAAATGGTGTTGGTTGAGGTGTGTCAAGATCAAATGTTGTTGGTTGTGGTGTGGTAAAATCAAATGATGTTGTTTGTAATGTGTCCCAATCATACGGTGTTGGATGTGATGTGTCCTCTGTAGTTGATAAACTTAATGTTGTAGTTTCATTAATTGGAGGATGTTGTGTTGTGTTACCATCAAACGGTGTTGTATGTGGAGTTTCAAAATCAAATAGTGTTGGTTGTGTTGTGTAATCATCAAATGGTATTGGTTGTATTGTGTAATCAACAAATGGTGTTGGTTGTGTTGTGTAATTAACAAATGGTGTTGGTTGAGGTGTGTCCAGATCAAATGGTGTTGGTTGTGGTGTGGTAAAATCAAATGATGTTGTTTGTAATGTGTCCCAATCATACGGTGTTGGTTGTGATGTGTCCTCTGTGGTTGATAAACGTAATGAAGTAGTTTCATTATTTGGAGTTGGTTTTGTTGTGTTACCATCAAATGGTGTTGGTTGTGTTGTGTAATCATCAAATGGTGTTAGTTGTGTTGTGTAATCATCAAATGGTGTTGGTTGTGTTGTGTAATCAACAAATGGTGTTGGTTGTGGTGTGTCAAGATCAAATGGTGTTGGTTGTGTTGTGGTAAAATCAAATGATGTTGTTTGTAATGTGTCCCAATCATACGGTGTTGGTTGTGATGTGTCCTCTGTGGTTGATAAACGTAATGAAGTAGTTTCATTATTTGGAGTTGGTTTGGTTGTGTTACCATCAAATGGTGTTGGTTGTGTTGTGTAATCATCAAATGGTGTTGGTTGTGTTGTGTAATCATCAAATGGTGTTGGTTGTGTTGTGTAATCAACAAATGGTGTTGGTTGTGGTGTGTCAAGATCAAATGGTGTTGGTTGTGTTGTGTAATCATCAAATGGTGTTGGTTGTGTTGTGTAATCAACAAATGGTGTTGGTTGAGGTGTGTCAAGATCAAATGTTGTTGGTTGTGGTGTGGTAAAATCAAATGATGTTGTTTGTAATGTGTCCCAATCATACGGTGTTGGATGTGATGTGTCCTCTGTAGTTGATAAACTTAATGTTGTAGTTTCATTAATTGGAGGATGTTGTGTTGTGTTACCATCAAACGGTGTTGTATGTGGAGTTTCAAAATCAAATAGTGTTGGTTGTGTTGTGTAATCATCAAATGGTATTGGTTGTGTTGTGTAATCAACAAATGGTGTTGGTTGTGTTGTGTAATTAACAAATGGTGTTGGTTGAGGTGTGTCCAGATCAAATGGTGTTGGTTGTGGTGTGGTAAAATCAAATGATGTTGTTTGTAATGTGTCCCAATCATACGGTGTTGGTTGTGATGTGTCCTCTGTGGTTGATAAACGTAATGAAGTAGTTTCATTATTTGGAGTTGGTTTTGTTGTGTTACCATCAAATGGTGTTGGTTGTGTTGTGTAATCATCAAATGGTGTTAGTTGTGTTGTGTAATCATCAAACGGTGTTGGTTGTGTTGTGTAATCAACAAATGGTGTTGGTTGTGGTGTGTCAAGATCAAATGGTGTTGGTTGTGTTGTGGTAAAATCAAATGATGTTGTTTGTAATGTGTCCCAATCATACGGTGTTGGTTGTGATGTGTCCTCTGTGGTTGATAAACGTAATGAAGTAGTTTCATTATTTGGAGTTGGTTTGGTTGTGTTACCATCAAATGGTGTTGGTTGTGTTGTGTAATCATCAAATGGTGTTGGTTGTGTTGTGTAATCATCAAATGGTGTTGGTTGTGTTGTGTAATCAACAAATGGTGTTGGTTGAGGTGTGTCAAGATCAAATGTTGTTGGTTGTGGTGTGGTAAAATCAAATGATGTTGTTTGTAATGTGTCCCAATCATACGGTGTTGGTTGTGATGTGTCCTCTGTAGTTGATAAACTTAATGTTGTAGTTTCATTAATTGGAGGGTGTTGTGTTGTGTTACCATCAAACGGTGTTGTTTGTGGAGTTTCAAAATCAAATAGTGTTGGTTGTGTTGTGTAATCATCAAATGGTATTGGTTGTGTTGTGTAATCAACAAATGGTGTTGGTTGAGGTGTGTCAAGATCAAATGGTGTTGGTTGTGGTGTGGTAAAATCAAATGATGTTGTTTGTAATGTGTCCCAATCGTACGGTGTTGGTTGTGATGTGTCCTCTGTGGTTGATAAACGTAATGAAGTAGTTTTATTATTTGGAGTTGGTTTTGTTGTGTTACCATCAAATGGTGTTGGTTGTGTTGTGTAATCATCAAATGGTGTTGGTTGTGTTGTGTAATCAACAAATGGTGTTGGTTGTGTTGTGTCAAGATCAAATGGTGTTGGTTGTGGTGTGGTAAAATCAAATGATGTTGTTTGTAATGTGTCCCAATCATACGGAGTTGGTTGTGATGTGTCCTCTGTAATTGTTAAACGTAATGAAGTAGTTTCATTATTTGGAGTTGGTTTTGTTGTGTTACCATCAAATGTTGTTGGTTGTGTTGTGTTATCATCAAATGGTGTTGGTTGTGTTGTGTAATCATCAAATGGTGTTGGTTGTGTTGTGTAATCAACAAATGGTGTTGTTTGTGGTGTGTCAAGATCAAATGGTGTTGGTTGTGTTGTGGTAAAATCAAATGATGTTGTTTGTAATGTGTCCCAATCATACGGTGTTGTTTGTGATGTGTCCTCTGTGGTTGATAAACGTAATGAAGTAGTTTCATTATTTGGAGTTGGTTTGGTTGTGTTACCATCAAATGGTGTTGGTTGTGTTGTGTAATCATCAAATGGTGTTGGTTGTGTTGTGTAATCATCAAATGGTGTTGGTTGTGTTGTGTAATCAAAAAATGGTGTTGGTTGTGGTGTGTCAAGATCAAATGGTGTTGGTTGTGGTGTGGTAAATTCAAATGATGTTGTTTGTAATGTTTCCAAATCATACGGCGTTGGTTGTGATGTGTCCTCTGTGGTTGATAAACGTAATGAAGTAGTTTCATTTTTTGGAGTTGGTTTTGTTGTGTTACCATCAAATGGTGTTGGTTGTGTTGTGTAATCATCAAATGGTGTTGGTTGTGTTGTGTAATCAACAAATGGTGTTAGTTGAGGTGAGTCAAGATCAAATGGTGTTGGTTGTGGTGTGGTAAAATCAAATGATGTTGTTTGTAATGTGTCCCAATCATACGGTATTGGTTGTGATGTGTCCTCTGTAGTTGTTAAACGTAATGAAGTAGTTTCATTATTTGGAGTTGGTTTTGTTGTGTTACCATCAAATGGTGTTGGTTGTGTTGTGTAATCATCAAATGGTGTTGGTTGTGTTGTGTAATCAACAAATGGTGTTGGTTGAGGTGTGTCAAGATCGAATGGTGTTGGTTGTGGTGTGGTAAAATCAAATGATGTTGTTTGTAATGTGTCCCAATCATACGGTGTTGGTTGTGATGTGTCCTCTGTGGTTGATAAACGTAATGAAGTAGTTTCATTATTTGGAGTTGGTTTTGTTGTGTTACCATCAAATGGTGTTGGTTGTGTTGTGTAATCATCAAATGGTGTTGGTTGTGTTGTGTAATCATCAAATGGTGTTGGTTGTGTTGTGTAATCAACAAATGATGTTGGTTGAGGTGTGTCAAGATCAAATGGTGTTGGTTGTGGTGTGGTAAAATCAAATGATGTTGTTTGTAATGTGTCCCAATCATACGGTGTTGGTTGTGATGTGTCCTCTGTGGTTGATAAACGTAATGAAGTAGTTTCATTATTTGGAGATGGTTTTGTTGTGTTACCATCAAATGGTGTTGTTTGTGGAGTTTCAAAATCAAATGGTGTTGGTTGTGTTGTGTAATCATCAAATGGTGTTGGTTGTGTTGTGTAATCAACAAATGGTGTTGGTTGAGGTGTGTCAATATCAAATGGTGTTGGTTGTGGTGTGGTAAAATCAAATGATGTTGTTTGTAATGTGTCCCAATCATACGGCGTAGGTTGTGATGTGTCCTCTGTAGTTGATAAACGTAATGAAGTAGTTTCATTATTTGGAGTTGGTTTTGTTGTGTTACCATCAAACGGTGTCGTTTGTGGAGTTTCAAAATCAAATGGTGTTGGTTGTGTTGTGTAATCATCAAATGGTGTTGGTGTTGTTGTGTAATCATCAAATGGTGTTGGTTGAGGTGTGTCAAGATCAAATGGTGTTGGTTGTGGTGTGGTAAAATCAAATGATGTTGTTTGTAATGTGTCCCAATCGTACGGTGTTGGTTGTGATGTGTCCTCTGTGGTTGATAAACGTAATGAAGTAGTTTCATTATTTGGAGTTGGTTTTGTTGTGTTACCATCAAATGGTGTTGGTTGTTTTGTGTAATCATCAAATGGTGTTGGTTGTGTTGTGTAATCATCAAATGGTGTTAGTTGTGTTGTGTAATCAACAAATGGTGTTGGTTGAGGTGTGTCAAGATCAAATGGTGTTGGTTGTGGTGTGGTAAAATCAAATGATGTTGATTGTAATGTGTCCCAATCATACGGTGTTGGTTGTGATGTGTCCTCTGTGGTTGATAAACGTAATGAAGTAGTTTCATTATTTGGAGATGGTTTTTTTGTGTTACCATCAAATGGTGTTGTTTGTGGAGTTTCAAAATCAAATGGTGTTGGTTGTGTTGTGTAATTATCAAATGGTGTTGGTTGTGTTGTGTAATCAACAAATGGTGTTGGTTGACGTGTATCAATATCAAATGGTGTTGGTTGTGGTGTGGTAAAATCAAATGATGTTGTTTGTAATGTGTCCCAATCATACGGCGTTGGTTGTGATGTGTCCTCTGTAGTTGATAAACGTAATGAAGTAGTTTCATTATTTGGAGTTGGTTTTGTTTTGTTACCATCAAATGGTGTTGGTTGTGTTGTGTAATCATCAAATGGTGTTGGTTGTGTTGTGTAATCAACAAATGGTGTTGATTGAGGTGTGTCAAGATCAAATGGTGTTGGTTGTGGTGTGGTAAAATCAAATGATGTTGTTTGTAATGTGTCCCAATCATACGGTGTTGGTTGTGATGTGTCCTCTGTGGTTGATAAACGTAATGAAGTAGTTTCATTATTTGGAGTTGGTTTTGTTGTGTTACCATCAAATGGTGTTGGTTGTGTTGTGTAATCATCAAATGGTGTTGGTTGTGTTGTGTAATCAACAAATGGTGTTGGTTGAGGTGTGTCAAGATCAAATGGTGTTGGTTGTGGTGTGGTAAAATTAAATGATGTTGTTTGTAATGTGTCCCAATCATACGGTGTTGGTTGTGATGTGTCCTCTGTGGTTGATAAACGTAATGAAGTAGTTTCATTATTTGGAGTTGGTTTTGTTGTGTTACCATCAAATGGTGTTGGTTGTGTTGTGTAATCATCAAATGGTGTTTTTTGTGTTGTGTAATCAACAAATGGTGTTGGTTGAGGTGTGGTAAAATCAAATGATGTTGTTTGTAATGTGTCCCAATCATACGGCGTTGGTTGTGATCTGTCCTCTGTAGTTGATAAAGGTAATGATGTAGTTTCATTAATTATAGGATGTAGTGTTGTGTTAGAATCAAACGGTGTTGGTTGTGGAGTTTCAAAATCAAAAGGTGTTGGTTGTGTTGTGTAATCAACAAATGGTGTTGGTTGTGTTGTGTAATCAACAAATGGTGTTGGTTGTGTTGTGTAATCAACAAATGGTGTTGTTTGTGGTGTGGTTACATCAAATGATGTTGTTTGTAATGTGTCCCAATCATATTGCGTTGGTTGTGTTATGTCCTCTGTAGTTGATACATGTAATGATGTAGTTTCATTAATTGGAGGCGGTTTTGTAGTGTTACCATCAAATGGTGTTGGTTGTGGAGTTTCAAAATCAAATGGTGTTGGTTGTGTTGTGTAATCAAAAAATTGTGTTTGTTGTGTTGTGTAATCATCAAATGGTATTGTTTGTGGTGTTGTAACATCAAACGATGTTGTTTGTAATGCGTCCTCAGTAGTTGATATAGTTAACGTTGTCGTTTCATTAATTGGAGGTGGTTGTGTTGTGTTCAGATTAATTGGTGTTGTTTGTGTTGTGTAGTCAACAGATGGTGTTGGTTGTGTTGTCTCTTCATCAAATGATGTTGTTTTTATTGTAGTGCTAACATCAAATGGTGTTTGTTTTGGTGTGGTAACATCAAATGATGTTGTTTCTAATGTGACCCAATCGTATGGTGTTGGATGTGATCTGTCCTCATTAGTTGGTAAAGTTAATGATGTTGTTTCATTAATTAAAGTTGGTGTTGTTTTACCATCAAATGGTGTTGTTTGTGATGTATAAACTTCAAATGATGTTGTTTGTGATGTACCACTATCAAATGGTGTTTGTTGTGATGGGTCCATATCAAATGGTGTTATTTTTTGTAATCCCCAATAAATAGGTGTTGATTCTGATGTAACCCCATCAATTGTTGTTGCTTGTGGTGTGACGTCATCAAATGGTGTTGGTTGTGATGTGTTCCAATCAAATTGTGTTGGTTGTGGTGTGTCCCCAATTGTAGGTGATGTAAATGTTGTAGTTTCATCACCTAATGTAAATGAGGTTGTTTGTGCTGTGGTTTCATTCCCTGCTGTTGTTAATGGTGTGCCTTCATCACCTGGCGTATTGTATGATGTTTCTACAACAATTATTGATGGTTTTGTCGTCTCCGTATCAGCTGTTTGTGTTGTGATACTATTAACGGGTGTAGTTTGTAGTGTGTCCCCATCAATTGAAGTTGGTTCTGTTGTGTCTTCATTAACTGGTGTTGTTTTTGTCGTGTCATCATTCACGGGGGTAGGTTGTGTCGTCTCGTCATTAGCTGTTGATGTTTTTGTCGTCTCTTCATTAAAGGGGGTTGGTTGTGTCGAGTCTTCTGTTGTTGTTTTTGTCGTGAATTCTTTAAAGGGAGTTGGTTGTGTCGTGTCTTTATTAACGGGGGTTGGTTGTGTCGTGTATTCTGTTGACGTTTTTGTCGTGTCTTCATTAGCTGTTGACGTTTTTGTCGTGAATTCATTAAAGGGGGTTGGTTGTGTCGTGTCTTCATTTACTGGTGATGTTTTTGTCGTGTCTTCATTAACTGTGGATGTTTTTGTCGTCTCTTCATTAACTGGTGATGTTTTTGTCGTGTCTTCATGCACGGGGGTTGATTGTGTCGTGTCTTCATTAACTGGTGATGTTTTTGTCGTGTCTTCATTAGCTGTTGATGTTTTTGTCGTGTCTTCATTAATGGGGGTTGATTGTGTCGTGTCTTCTGTTGATGTTTTTGTCGTGTCTTCATTAAGTGGTGTTGTTTGTGTCGTGTCTTCACTATCTGTTGAAGGTAGGGTTGTTGACCAGTGAACTCCTGCATCGACTTCAGCTGTTACCACATCGGGAATATCAGTCCCAACTACGTAACATGAAACAAAATAAATGTTTATTACTTTATTGCATCCGTTAAACGTAAGGATGAAAGTAGTTTATTTAATACTGACATAAAGCAGATTTCAATCGAAAATCAAATGTTAATTGTTATCTAAATTTTAATCATAAATACGTTTGGAAATCCAAACGCATATAGCTTTCCGCGTTTTAAACTGATATTTTGTTGGTAAATTTTGAGTATTTTGAAAACGAAAAAAAGACGCACTTTTCTACGAAATCATATAGCAACGAAACTATGTTAACTAACAATGTTACCAATGAGTTGTAAACAGTGGATTTCATACGACCTCTGTTTCAAATGTTGTTTACACATTTTCAATACTCTTGTCAAAAACGTTGACTCGTAATTTTACACTTCGTTATTGGCATGACACAATTGTTTTTTTTTTAATTCCTTTAATGAAGATGGCCGTCGTATTTATGGACATTATTCCTGTGTTAACTGATATCTTTATTCCGCTAGACAAGCGATAAGACTCTTTAAATAATTGTAAACCGTTACATGTCATTGAAACACACAAATGCATAACATTGTTTTCATATCATTTATATTATAAAATATTTAATGTATTTAGTCCGTATGTTGCGAGGCAATGCCTTAAAATATCAAAGTAGATAATTAATTTGAACGTTTGATGAAAAACTGGGGATTTGAAATTTTCTTGACATCTGCAAATTACAACTGAAACGTTTCATTAGCTATAAACTCACAATTTTCTCTCGCCTACAGTGTTTAGGAAAATATTTCTAGTTTACGTCATGAATAATTTATAATTTATAACCTAATTCATTGTTTACCATGGCAAAACAAACCAACTGAGAAAACAAAACGCAATATGTCAACTTCAGCATTTTATAAAACTGAACAGTCGTCGAAATTGTATTCTATCTTTCATCATTTACATTTACATTCAGATTGTTGTGGTCTCGATGTAATCAAGAATACATTAATCATTGTTATAAATGTTTGTGCAAATTTTATCAGAAAACAACACGTTGTTTATTTCTTATCAACCCTCTACCATCTCATTTATACTTGTCAATGTATTAATTTAGAATATTTCTGTGTATAAAATTTACTGGCACGAACAAATAATGTAGATATCCAGGCTACTTGTGTCAATTGAAACATTTGCCCCAAACGCTACTTCTAAAATAGAAAAGATCAGCTGATAAAATGTTGACGCATCGGTCACTCACGTGCGGGGGCAAAAGTTCTGGCAGTTCAAGACTACCAGGACGTCCTGTTTCTTGCGTTTATTGCAATTGTTCAAAATATTATGTGTCAGCAAATATATATATATATATATACGAGCCGACCCGCGGCGTATCACACGCCGCTATTTAGTTTTATTTTCTACTTTTCAGTAATTCATAATTCGTGACTTCGACAGTACCAATGCTGTCACTGAAAATATTTGCTTTAAAACACTAAAACCCTCTTTCCCCCCCCCCCCCTGAAAGCAGCCTCCTCTTAGTTACCTCCCCTAAGTTTAAAATAGTTTCAAACTAAATTATCTGCCCCTAATAGGCGTCACTAAACCCGGCACTGCGATTGTAAACATTTAACGTGAACCACAGCTCACCATACCAGGTGGGAGTAGGGATAGTTGCGATATACCTAGAGAGGAAGAGAGGGTACTGCTAGGCGCGCTTACAGATTGGTGTTTTCTAACGTCTCCAAGAAGAGAATTATATATATATATATATATATATATATATATATATATATATATATATATATATATATATATATATATATATATATATATATATATATATATATATATATATACATATATATATATATATATATATATATATATATATATATATATATATATATATATATATATATAATTTATATTGTTGTCAGTGGCGTAGCGAGGTCGGGTGTTACCCGTGCGGCACTTAATGGTGTCACCCCCCCCCCAGAGGCGTAGCGACCCTTCCCGGGGACAAACTTTCAATTTTTCCATTTGCACCCCCACCCCCCCCCCCTCCCAAACTTTCGATTTCCGACCCCACCCCCCCCCCCCCCTCCGACTTTCAATTTGCACCTCTTAAAACAATATTCTACACTCGAATTAAGTGGAATTATCATTTTCTCTATATATTTTGCTATTTTTTACCTTGATGTCACTCCCCTAAATGGTGTCACCCAGTGCGGTCCGCACCCCCCTCCCCTCGCTACGCCTCTGATTGTTGTTTATCCTTACCTGGAGGGTCGCAGTCGAATCCATCACCGCTTCCCCCGTCATCTTCCACTTCAACATAATTTAATAAATCAGAAAGCGTTAATTCATCCACTGGTTCAGTCCTATCACGACCCCGTACCTTGCCAAACACTACTTCAAAACGGCCGTTCTCTATTTTAGATCGAAATTCTTCTTCATCTTCGCAGTCTGATAATTGTTGAATATAATCCAACCCTGAATTAATGTCAACCATTAGCTCTTCTGCTAAGTTCAGGAGTATCTGCATATACACATCGATGTTATCGTTCTCAGAGACATCCGTTTTCAAGCTGGATCTGTTTATATCTGCGAGCTCTGTCAATAGGATTTCAATGAGTTCTAGAATCTCATTCGTTTTCTTCTCACATTCCTCCAGATTTTCATTGTCTTTCTCTCCTGTTTCAGTATCTGGTATGTTTTCATTGACAATCTCGAGATTTGGCCGAGTGTTCAATGTTTCTTCACTCTCCGGCTCCCCAACATCAAACAATCCCAGTTCATTATCGCTCACTACGTTGGTTTCAACATAATTTCTATCGGCTGTCTGTCCTACACTTAGGTGTCCCTGTAATCTGCTTGCAGCTACATTCGGCAATGGATTATGACCTATGGATAAAAGTTGATATGTTCAGAAATAAGTTCGGTAATTTTTTTTATCTGGAGAAGGGGGTAAAATATTGAGTTAAATGGTCATCTTAGCATACATGTTTGAGACACATGAATATTTTGTATCAGATATAAATGGTTGGACGTAATCGAGACTTTAATAATAATAAACTGTTTTAACTTAATAGTGTGCAATTATTGTTTACATTTCAAATGCTTTTAGAACCAACAAATACAGTTACAATTTATTCAACTTCGACAGACATCTTCAGTTATAAATTACTATAAAATTAACTAGACCTGGTTTATACATACCTAAATTTAAGCCTAGTATACCCTCTGTATACAAAACAACCATTAAAACCAGCCACATGGTTACCTTTTGAAAATAAAACATGTACATTATAGAGAAATAGAAATGTAAATGTAAATGCATATATATTGCCTATAAATATATATACATATATAGGCCTGTATATAAAATGTATTTATTCATTTATTTATATATATGTATATATATATATATATATATATATATATATATATATATATATATATATATATTTATATATATATATATATATATATATATATATATATATATATATATATATATATATATATATAATATCGTGGTGGTGTGCAGTGTAAAAAAATATTTTATTATTGGACTTAGCAAAATCTACATTGTTTTACCCCAATTTACAACAAAGTTATTTTGAAATGTATACAAGAATCATATGTCTGCGGCGGGTGGACTGAATTTGTCTTTAATGGAAATCTAAATACCTAAACGGATCGGGTTAAGTTTTTTCCACACTGGTGCACTATAACACTAGAAAGGCTGGAGCGCACTTTTCGGCTAAATTCAGTGCACTTTCAATTTTCAGTTTTTGAAATATTTGTATATGTCATATAGGCAACCTCATTTTTTCGGTCTCCATGCTTTAAAGTTTTGCACTGCTGTCAACGCTGGTGACATTTAGTTTTTATTTGTAGACTTATGTATTTGTCTATTAAGAAATTAATTAACTTTCTAAATAAAAACGGGACTGAATGTATAATAAATTTAGATAATTTATTATTTAAAATAGTACAATTGTAATAATTTCAGTTATACATATTTCTATAATTTAAAAAAAAATGCATAAAAAACGGTTTAATTACAAACATTAATAATAGTTGTTTTTTTTAAATAGTAGAGTATTCTCATATATTTATTTTCTCTCTGATAACCTGCGTATAATAATGCAGAATAGTTGGATAAATCTGCCTACTAATGTCAGAAAATATTCATTAATTCATTAAAAAATTAGGCATCCAATTAAGCCAAATTTGATGTCAGACTACATAGTCTTCAAATCTTCAACCTCGTGCCAAATTAAAATCGAATCTGTCAGTTAGAAGTAGGGCCTACCCGAAATTTCGCTCGCACGTTACGATCTATGGAGACAGACAGACGATAGACATAGGAAGCAAGATAAATAAAAATTTGTAAAAAGCTGCATCTTTTACTATATCTAATTATACATCGTTTTATCACAACTTTAGGTCACTAGCAATATAATTTTAAAAGATTGTGTATGATAGATTAATTCATTAATTTGGTGCTACTATACGTCACACTAGATCTTTTATTGTTATCGTAGAGTTCAGGTCAGTTTATATGAGTTTGATACTAAGTTTAGGTTGATATTTTGCAAGTGTTATTACATTTCCAAATCTTTCAAAATATACTTGTTTAGAATTTGAGTTTAAAAAATTAAGAAATGTAATTGGTGCCAATTGTATCGATGTGTATATTTGTCCATATGGGTGTTTGTCGCATTCGGGTGCATTCGTGCGTTTGTCGCATTCGGGTAAGTGTCCATTCTCGAAAACAACCTACGGGCAAACGGCATTCGGACAAAAGTCTTTCGGGCATTGGTCGTAGACCCATTAGGAATAGGTTAGGTATAGGTTTAGATTTAGAAATAAATACATGTATATGAATAGGAATATGTGTAGGCTATTCATGTGAATGTACGTAGTAGTTACGGGCAGATTGAAATTTGTGTTGGATTATGTTTTATTGTTTGTCAAAACATTTGTAAAATGTTTTATATTGTGAATACGCATTTAGCTTATATTAAATTAGAAGTTAAGGGGTCTGTGAATTTGAATGGGAGTTAAAGTTAATAGGGTGGTCGTTTATTGGCAGCATATTCTTCGAAGTTCTAAGGTCAATTATCTGGCGATGTGTGAGCAGCACAAAAGGAATAAGAACAAGTCAGAAGGTTGACACTAACAACCTGTTAATTATTGCCGATCATACCCCACCCCCATCCAATTAATAACCCTCCTGTAATCAAACAGTTGCTTTAGCAAATCAGCCACCATTTTGAGAGAGAGAGAGGGAGAGGGATACCGGTGGGGATAGCTTAACCATATGTTAGGAATAGGTTAAGGAAAGGTTTAGACAGTGGCGTAGCTAGGTCAGGTGTCACCCGGTGTGGCACCTAATGGTGTCAGCCAATATATATATATATATATATATATATATATATATATATATATATATATATATATATATATATATATACGCTATTAGTGGTAGGCCCTCCCAATTTGTTCCCATTTTTGCACACATTATATTTATCCACCTATTAATTCAAGTTGAATCAAGAAACGTTTTCATGTTAAATTATTAGATATGGTGTCATCCCCACCCTTGTCGTTATTTGAATTATCAGTTATTGAACATTTTTCCATTGCAAACTATGCAGTTGCTTTCACAGTTGGGGAGGGGGTGGTGGGTAGCTGTAAATTGTGCACAGAGAATAGTAACTGTAGCCGATTATTAATACAGCTGGATGTAGTATTGTTTGCTCCATATTTAGAAAAGTTATATCATTCTCCCTCAGTCGGAATCTCCTTTGTACTTAAAACACTTTAACTCTAGTTAATCATTAATTAAACAGACAAAATGAATTTATCTTGGATATATTTTGCATTTGTTTTTCTTTTTGCCCCCCCCCCCTTTTAAATGGTGTCACCTGGTGCGGTCCACACCTTAGCCCCCACCTAGCTACGTCTCTGGGTTTAGATATAGGTATACGTAGAGGAATACGGGTAGGTTATATGTGTGGGTTATAGATGTAGTTTGTAGTGGTAGTTATCATGTAAGCGCTATTGTGCATTCGATCGATGTAAATAGTGCGATAGGCTTTGGATACAATGGGTTACTATAGTTCACTAAATCATAACAGGCGCGTCCTCTGGCGCCCCGGCACGGTGCTATTAGGCATCCCGGGCTTTCCATTGAGCGCCATGGCGCATACGCTCGTATTAAACAGTGCGATAGACTATGGATAAGAAGGGGTATAATAGTCGTTCGCAAAAGTGAATCAAGCGATTTGTCGCCCCGGGCTTCCTCATGAGCATTATGCTGCATAAGTTACTTTTATAGAATACCCTACAATATTGACACGGTGGCACACGACATTCTATGATTATACAAAGCCAGGGGCAACACACAGCGCCCTGCGGAAGTGTAACAGGGGGCTTCGGAGAGCGCCCTTCTACGTCACTAACACCTGGTGTTCGTCGAACTGTTTTCTACCTCATTATTATGGAGAGTGACTAACGTACACGTAAGGTTTTCATACAATACGCCCTCCTGGGGCGGTCGTGTGCACAAACCCGTGCCCCGAGAAATATGATCAAATAAATATAGCCCAGGCGTTGTTTTTTATTTACATTTAAATAATTCAGTTTTAGAAAACAAGGTCACACATCTAAGAATATAGGATTAGTAACACATTGATGAAATACTTTGAAAATATTGCGTCAACTTTCTTCTGAGACCGCGGCAACGCGCATGGACGGGCACGCTAGCTTTTAATACTTAATTTTCCTTTCTTAGGCGTATCAAAAACTACCAAATATACTACCTACTCTACAAAATTTAAATTTTCTCGAGAATTGAGAGGACTTTTTAATTTTAAAAAAAATGCCTTTTACTATTGATTTTATTTACAACAGTCCTTAATAAAAAGAAAAAGTAAAATTAAACAAACATCAAAATAGCATTGCCATAATCACTCTTTGTATAACGTAAGATGCACTTTAAAATCTGATACAAATCGTGTTCTTGCTTACCTAATACATTATTCCCTAGTAACACATTTGTCCAAAGAAAGATAACACAGATGACATACGGCGGCCATGTCTTTTTATCATAGTTTGCTACTAAAACCCACCAGACAGCTGTGAATGTTTACATTAACATTTCCATTGTGACATAACTTTTGTTTTACCAGTGTGCTTTATGTAATAATATGTTATCTCATTTAAACTGTATGTATACTTCACTATACATGTCGTATGTGAGAAATATTTTAGGCATATTTCTTTTAGAATAAAATGGATTTGATGATCTGGAAACGAAAAATCTTGCTTGGCTTCATAAAAAATGACGTTGGTTTTTATTGAAATAAACATTGCACACAGGAGGTCCTTGAATGGAATCTTCAGCCTAGAACACACACGTAGAACAAGACTTCCTTGGAAGCTTGGGATATATATATATATATATATATATATATATATATATATATATATATATATATATATATATATATATATATATATATATATATATGATAAATTACAAGTAAAAATGTAGCGCCGTTATAGCCTCTTGCTCCAACTAAAGGATATTAAATAATAATACTGAAATTTCTTTGTGATAATACATGTTGATACAGTAGTATTTGTGAAAAATAGTCATGTAATAGTTTTGTATTCATTTCTGTTCATTAAGTATTAATGAATACGCCAATCTCTGTAATGATCACTAACCCAAGCCAACCAAATGAGCCTGTTGTATCACCTGTTATATCATAACAACAACCAAATCCTTGCTGGTTGATTTGTGATATTGATAATGTGTAAATTACTTCAATGATAAAATTGTGTTTTATTGGTCTTAGCACGACTGACACAATATTTTATTGTAAACACTATAACATTTCCCTTATTTAGTAAAAACAAAAACAAAAAAAAACCAGCTTCTCAGTTTGTGCTTGCTTGTACAATGGGGTTCTTAAAGTATTATTAGATTTTAAAATGTGTTAAAAATTATAGGATTGATTTTACAATAATCAGAAACAGTCCTAAATATTACGTTTTAACTAACCTAAATCACAGAATATATTTACCGCTACATCAGCATTAATTTATTTACTCAGTTTATGGAGTATCCGTTTTAATTTTCGATATTTTTTAAGTCACGTTCCTTAGTTTAAGATTCACAAATCATTTATTACCGCGATTCCACATTAAAAGCTATATAAAGAATTTAAATACTTTGCCGTTTATCAGATAAATATGTAAAGGTGTAAATGCTTTTTACGATGTCAAAAAGCCATTTGCGATACAACAAGCCTCAAAGCCAGTCCATGCATCACTACTATATATTTAATATGCAGTCATATATAATGCAGCAAGCTCCAAATAAACTAAAAGATTTTTATAACAAGATTTTTTTTTAAATATGTAAAAAAAAAAAAAAGTTTCCTTTTTAAATTTAACTGTCCAATGAGGCAAATTAGAGTTAACCTGTTTTTGTGACCTCGGCATATGAAGGGATAGAGTGGTCAGCGCTATGCCAAGCCGCCTTAACTTTACCTAAAATGAGTTGTGTACCCATCAGAGCTGGATGGACTCAGGGACGTTATACTGAATTGAACCCGGATTCCAGCTCGAATCTCGCAATCTAGCGCTCTAACGCTAGGCCACACCGTCTCATGAAAATACGTTTTGCATGTATAATCGTCAATGTATCATCCCTGGTCAACATTTCATTTTCATCAACGCTGACTTGGGATCATTCACCTACGCCAACGCCTACGACTTCAACGTCACCTTACACCTTACACCTTACACCTTACACCTTACACCTTACACCTTACACCTTACACCTTACACCTTACACCTTACACCTTACACCTTACACCTTACACCTTACACCTTACACCTTACACCTTACACCTTACACCTTACACCTTACGCCTTACGCCTTACGCCTTACGCCTTACACCTTACGCCTTACACCTTACACCTTACACCTTACACCTTACACCTTACACCTTACACCTTACACCTTACACCTTACACCTTACACCTTACACCTTACACCTTACACCTTACACCTTACACCTTACACCTTACACCTTACACCTTACACCTTACACCTTAAACCTTACACCTTACACCTTACACCTTACACCTTACACCTTACACCTTACATCTTACACATTACACCTTACACCTTACACCTTACACCTTACACCTTACACCTTACACCTTACACCTTACACCTTACACCTTACACCTTACACCTTACACCTTACACCTTACACCTTACACCTTACACCTTACACCTTACACCTTACGCCTTACGCCTTACGCCTTACGCCTTACGCCTTACGCCTTACGCCTTACGCCTTACGCCTTACGCCTTACGCCTTACGCCTTACGCCTTACGCCTTACGCCTTACGCCTTACGCCTTACGCCTTACGCCTTACGCCTTACGCCTTACGCCTTACGCCTTACACCTTACACCTTACACCTTACACCTTACACCTTACACCTTACACCTTACACCTTACACCTTACACCTTACACCTTACACCTTACACCTTACACCTTACACCTTACACCTTACACCTTACACCTTACACCTTACACCTTACACCTTACACCTTACACCTTACACCTTACACCTTACACCTTACACCTTACACCTTACACCTTACACCTTACACCTTACACCTTACACCTTACACCTTACACCTTACACCTTACACCTTACACCTTACACCTTACACCTTACACCTTACACCTTACACCTTACACCTTACACCTTACACCTTACACCTTACACCTTACACCTTACACCTTACACCTTACACCTTACACCTTACACCTTACACCTTACACCTTACACCTTACACCTTACACCTTACACCTTACACCTTACACCTTACACCTTACACCTTACACCTTACACCTTACACCTTACACCTTACACCTTACACCTTACACCTTACACCTTACACCTTACACCTTACACCTTACACCTTACACCTTACACCTTACACCTTACACCTTACACCTTACACCTTACACCTTACACCTTACACCTTACACCTTACACCTTACACCTTACACCTTACACCTTACACCTTACGCCTTACGCCTTACGCCTTACGCCTTACGCCTTACGCCTTACGCCTTACGCCTTACGCCTTACACCTTACACCTTACACCTTACACCTTACACCTTACACCTTACACCTTACACCTTACACCTTACACCTTACACCTTACACCTTACACCTTACACCTTACACCTTACACCTTACACCTTACACCTTACACCTTACACCTTACACCTTACACCTTACACCTTACACCTTACACCTTACACCTTACACCTTACACCTTACACCTTAAACCTTACACCTTACACCTTACACCTTACACCTTACACCTTACACCTTACATCTTACACCTTACACCTTACACCTTACACCTTACACCTTACACCTTACACCTTACACCTTACACCTTACACCTTACACCTTACACCTTACACCTTACACCTTACACCTTACACCTTACACCTTACGCCTTACACCTTACACCTTACACCTTACACCTTACACCTTACACCTTACGCCTTACACCTTACGCCTTACGCCTTACGCCTTACGCCTTACGCCTTACGCCTTACGCCTTACGCCTTACGCCTTACGCCTTACGCCTTACGCCTTACGCCTTACGCCTTACGCCTTACGCCTTACGCCTTACGCCTTACGCCTTACGCCTTACGCCTTACGCCTTACGCCTTACGCCTTACGCCTTACGCCTTACGCCTTACGCCTTACGCCTTACGCCTTACGCCTTACACCTTACACCTTACACCTTACACCTTACACCTTACACCTTACACCTTACACCTTACACCTTACACCTTACACCTTACACCTTACACCTTACACCTTACACCTTACACCTTACACCTTACACCTTACACCTTACACCTTACACCTTACACCTTACACCTTACACCTTACACCTTACACCTTACACCTTACACCTTACACCTTACACCTTACACCTTACACCTTACACCTTACACCTTACACCTTACACCTTACACCTTACACCTTACACCTTACACCTTACACCTTACACCTTACACCTTACACCTTACACCTTACACCTTACACCTTACACCTTACACCTTACACCTTACACCTTACACCTTACACCTTACACCTTACACCTTACACCTTACACCTTACACCTTACACCTTACACCTTACACCTTACACCTTACACCTTACACCTTACACCTTACACCTTACACCTTACACCTTACACCTTACACCTTACACCTTACACCTTACACCTCACACCTCACACCTCACACCTCACACCTTACACCTTACACCTTACACCTTACACCTTACACCTTACACCTTACACCTTACACCTCACACCTCACATATCACACCTCACACCTCACACCTCACACCTCACACCTCACACCTCACACCTCACACCTCACACCTCACACCTCACACCTCACACCTCACACCTCACACCTCACACCTCACGCCTCACACCTCACGCCTCACACCACACACCTCACACCTCACACCTCACACCTTACACCTACACTTATAGCTACACTAATATCTACACTTACGACTATAAACCTACACCTACATGTGGCTAATGCGAGTTGTCTTCACAAGATTCACAAGTTAGATGAGTTCAATAGTGTGAGTCAAAGTATCCCAATAGGGTGTTCCTATCTGAAAGCGATACTTTTTTAAACTAAACTTTTTATCTATAGTAAATTATAATAGACACGATAGAAAACCTCGGAAATATTCTGGCAAATACAAAAGTTGGTTTCCATTGTTCATAATTTTAAATAATTCATATTATAAGCTAGACTGAACGACATTTTTAATCATCCCAACGACGATTTGTAAACATCAATTCGTAAAATAATAGATAAATATGCAGATTGTAGTGAAAAAAAGGGCCTTTCAAACAACTTTCGGAAAATGATGACTCCATTGTTCTTTTTGTATTCAGCTTTATTTTAGTGCTTCTAAATGTGTAACATAAGTTTTAACTACTATGTACTTTTTGAAGTCTAAAAAATAGGATAATCTGTACTATATGATGGCTGAGCAGTTAAATCAGTAGGATAATCTGTACTATCTAATGGTTGGGCAGTTATGTCAGCAGGATAATCAGTATAATCTGATGGTTCAGCAGTTAAATCAGTAGGATAATCTGTACTATCTGATGGTTGGGCAGTTATGTCAGCAGGATAATCTGTATAATCTGATGGTTCAGCAGTTAAATCAGTAGGATAATCTGTAACATCATATGGTTGGGCAGTTATGTCAGCAGGATAATCAGTATAATCTGATGGTTCAGCAGTTAAATCAGTAGGATAATCTGTAACATCAGATGGCTGGGGAGTTAGATCAGTAGGATAATCTGTAACATCAGATGGTTGGGCAGTTATGTCAGCAGGATAATCAGTATAATCTGATGGTTCAGTAGTTAAATCAATAGGATAATCTGTAATATCAGATGACGGGGTTGGTGTAGGATCTATGATTAAAGTAGATTCTTGTGAAAAGAAATCGTCTTCTAAAAAACTCAGTTTCTGTGATATCGTTTCAGCAGCTGTGAAAATTCAGATTTTTAAATTATATAAGTATAGAAACATTTAACATGATACATAAATAATTGACCAAAACATTCTAATAACAACCACGACCACGTCTAATTTGATACGTGATATTTGGCACAAAAATAGGACCCCATCGCACACATTCTTTTAGCCCGGGAGCAGGACATAACCCCCCGCCGTGTCAATTACCCCCGGACATTACCCCCATCAGGACATTAACCCCCCCCCCCCCCCCCCAGTACTAATTATATCCCCTCCCTATCAATTACCTCCCACCCGGTACGACGTTACCCCATCCGGTCATAGCTTAAGGTACAGGCCAGGTGGGGGTAGGGCTAGGGCTAGGGCTAGGGCTAGGGCTAGGGCTAGGGCTAGGGCTAGGGCTAGGGCTAGGGCTAGGGCTAGGGCTAGGGCTAGGGCTAGGGCTAGGGTTGCGATAACGGTAGCGGTATGGGTTCAGTTAGAGTAAGGGTAGGGGGATGGGTAGGGTAAGGGTTAGGCTTAGGCTTTAGTGAGGCTTAGACTTATGTCTAGGGATGGGGTTGGATTTGGGTTTAGTTTTGAGGCTGATGTGAATGTTTTGCTTTAGGCTTTTGCTCAAGGTTAGGATTATGGTAAGATATAGGTCTAGAGTTGGGGTTAGGTATGGGGTTTGATTTAGGGTTATCTTTAATTAAAGGGTTGGAGTTTGGGAGACGCTTAGGGTCAGGATTCTTGACCATAGGAGAGGGGTTTTTGTCGGGGTGAAATGTCAGGTGATTAATTGACGAGGGGGGGGGGTAATGCAAATTCCGACTAACTGGATGGGTAACGGTTTGACTACGATGTGTCGGTCGCTTCTGTCCATCAGTTCTCACCAGGCTTATCTCCTACAACAATACATGCAGGGTAAACTCGTACCCCATCGTCCAGTACCCGGCAAACAGAAAGGTACCGAAAAGGGCCGACAGAAATGTTTCCTTGGACCCAAAACAAAACAGCTGCTGTCCCTACGCAAACACTCATGGATAAATAGTTTACACACACAAACCGTCTCGTTTAGCTTTTGACCAAATGATCACAGGAAAATATCTAACACAGGAAAACACCTAGCATAATAACTAAAAACATATAAATCTGCGATCAAAGTTTACGTAAATACAGCAGGCGATTTCCGTGCACAAGAGTGATGTGTACCTTTTAGGGAATAGTGGGTTTGAATTCAGGGTAAAAGTTCAATAACTATAGTTATAAATGGGCGGAGGGCAAAACTTAGGGTCGGAATGGGTCGCTACTCCTCTAATTGTCTATTGATCAGAGAGTGCCCAGTGAGCTTAATGAATGGTTAAGCTTGTATTTCAATGAGAGCTGAGGTTTAATATATTATATAAGCCTTAATTAAGTAAGGAAATTATTTAAAGTTAGTGCTTATGTCCTGATTTGGTTAGATACTTTTTTTTTCTCAAACCGTTTTGACTGAATCTTCATGTTGCAGGTTAATTTGATAAAGTTGTCGAAAGCATAGTTTTCATCGCGACATAAGTGATATAATAAAACTAAAAAGACTAAACGGTTGCAGATCATTTTTGTAATGTAAAAACTTACGTAAATGAAAACCAGCAGCGTATTGAAAGCACAGAACGATCATCAAAATAGTCCACATCTTGTCCAACTGAAGATAGACGCCAGCATTACATGAATTATAGTAACGTTAACACAAAACTAATATAAAGTCAAGTTACTATTCAAAACTTTTTTTCCACAGGGCAAGTAGAGTTCCCCCGAAATTTTTGCGACCCTCGCACATACAGGGATAGTGTGGTCAGTACTATGACAAGCCACCTGTACGTTCTTTAACGTGAGTTAGGCGCTAACAGGGCTTGGTGGTCTAAAGATGATCCACAAACTTGAAACCTGATTCGAACTCGATGCTTTCGGGTTAGTGGTCGTATACTCTATCATTTGGCTACGCCGTCATAAAAAGTCAAGTAAAAATAAAGGCATATTTTTCAAGTCAGTTTTTAAACACTTAAAGCCAAATCAACAGTAGAACTAAGGTTAATACAGTCTGATAAACAACAACATAAACTATATTAGCATCAATCCGAGCGGTGTTCACGAATGTGTACAGTACCTGAAGGTAAAACTTACATAAACTTTGTCTTCCTTAGCTTCAAGAATATGTTTGAGCCGAGCGCTGATGTGTCACGTAGAATACATTCACACAGCTTTTATTTTGGTACAGCTCTATACAATCTGACTAATTAAATTCCTGAACAAAATCATTTAATTATCTCTACCTCCCGTTGGTCTCTCCGTGTTTTGTCATGTTGTGTTATGTTGTATGGGGTGTTTTGTTGTATTGTGTGTTGTGTTGCATTGTGATTGTGTTTTGTTGAGTTGTGTATGTGTTTTTTGTATTGTATTTGTATTTTATTGAATTGTGTTTGTGTTTTGTTTTATTGGGTTTTTATTTTGTTGAAATATGTTTGTGTTCTGTTGTATTGTGTTTATATTTTGTTGTATTATATTTTGTATTTTTACTTTCTCGTATATACGAAGTATAGAGAAAGTCTTGTAATCGTGCAAAAAAAATAGAGATTTTTACAAATCTCGACGTTTTACACCTCACTGATACGGAAAAACATAATTTTGCAATCTTGTCCGTATGTCTGTGTGTCTGTGTGTGTGTGTCTGTCTACAAGATTATCAGGACTCTAACAGGAGGAATAGCAAATAGATCATCTACTATCAAGGACAAAAACGGGAAAGTTCTCACAACGGAGAAACATCAATTGAAAAGATGGGCTGAATACTTCGAAGAGACCCTAAACAGACCAGACCCAGAAGAAACTGCTGACTTCACTGACATGAACATACATTTTGAAATGTATAGAGGACCCATCCCAGAACAAGAAATAATAGAAGCTATCCAAAAAACAAAAAGCAATAAGGCTCCAGGAGAGGACAGAATCACTGCGGAGATGCTAAAGGCAGACCCAAAAATAGGTGCAGAAACTCTATTAGGGATCTTCAATATAGTATGGAATGAAGAAAAAGTCCCAGATTCTTGGAAACGGGGAATCATTATCAAATTACCCAAAAAGGGCGACCTTAATGTTTGTGAGAACTGGAGAGGCATTAATCTTCTGTCTGTACCAGGAAAAGTCTTCTGCAGAGTCCTATTACAAAGAATGAGGAAAGGAATTGATGGGATCCTTCGTGAAGAACAAGCTGGCTTCAGGGCCAACAGGTCATGTAACGACCAAATATTTGTCTTGCGCACTATCGTGGAACAGTCCCTGGAGTGGAATTCGTCTCTCTACATCAACTACATAGATTTCGAGAAAGCATTTGATAGCATCCACCATCCATCATTATGGAAGATATTAGAGCTATATGGCTTTCCAGGAAAAGTCATAAACATACTTAAGGACATGTACTATGATAACCAATGCTGTGTGCGACACGAAAATCAGCAAAGTGAATGGTTCAAGGTAAAAACAGGAGTCAGATAGGGCTGTGTCATCTCACCTGTCATCTTTTTGGCGGTAATAGACTGGATTATGAGAAGAGCCACTGAGGATAAGCCAAGAGGAATTGTTTGGGAACTTACCAACCACCTAGAGGACTGTGACTTTGCTGATGACTTGGCTTTACTTTCACATGCCCAAAAAGACATCCAAGCGAAAACCACAAGAATAGAGCAAATTGCCAAAAGCGTTGGGCTAAAGATAAACTCCGGAAAAACCAAGCTAATGAAAATAAAAACCAAAAGTGCTCTCAAGACCTTTGCGAATGGAGTAGAGCTAGAAGAGGTCGAAGACTTTAAGTACCTATATATCAGCAAATGGCAGCATGGAGAAAGAAATTGCCACCAGAATAGCAATGGCAGCACAAGCTTTCAACAGACTCGATAAGATCTGGAAATCATCCTCACTGCAGCAGAGAACTAAAATAAGGATCTATAAGTCAAATGTACGTTCTGTACTCCTCTATGCTGCAGAGTCATGGAAACTAAACAAGAAAGGAGAGAGCCGACTCAGAGGCTTTGAAAGAAGATCCCTCCAAC